AAGCTGTTCGCCTACATATCGTATAGCTTTACTTGGGCTCGACTAGCTGCTTGTAACATGCATAGGAGCACCCTGTAAAAGGATTCATGACGCTACAAGCAGGCTGGGCGAAGGGAACAACATCGCGATGCCCCAACCGGATCGGGGAGGTGAAGGACGTCGTTGGACTTGGCTTGGAACCTCCACACCTGGCTCTTTGACGAAAACTTCACTTGGTGTCTTTGGGGTGTGTAAAAAATGCCCATTGTGCCATCTGGCGGCCGCACTTCTTCACCTCGACCAAGACCATTGGTTCTCAGCGAGGAGGAAGGAGCGACTCCTGCTAGCCCAGTCTTGCTCCTGCCTTCTCCTTCGTTGACCGGTTTTCGCGCGCGCGCACAACACACGAAAACCGGTCAACCCGCAATCTTTTTCTCATCTCTTCTTCTCATCTCACCCACCCTTGGACTTTTCGTCCAACTTCCCTCCACCTCAACTTCCCTCTCCACTCCATCACCGTCGCATCACTCATCCCATCCTTTTGCTACCTTCAGCCAATATCACCACCATCCCTCGTTAGGTGGTGATAGCGGCAAACAGCATTGCTTCCAATTATCTTTCCTGATTATCTTACTCGTCTCAATTACCCTCTCTTACCTTCCTGCAAAATTCGTCGCATCAACATGGAGCCCGATCATGGCAGTGACGGCAGACAGCTGCGTCGGTCAACCCTAGCGCACCAGCCCGGTCGCTATGCTGAGATGCTGGTGGCCGGAGTCGAGAGACCAGCTTTCACTGTTCCTGATCCTGTCTTCGACCCTGAGCCTGCTCGCCACTGCGCTTTCCCAACCATCGAGCTGGACCAGCACCCGGGACCCAGCGAGCAGTTCATTGAGGCAAGGGCCAGAGGAGACTTGCATGGAGACAATCATCCTCTCGTTCAATATTCAGACAGCGATAACGGTACGTTCCCCCGCCCGTCGACAATCCATAAGTTTTCCTAACGCAAAGTAGACCAGGATAACAACCAGGGTGAACGCCGAGCGCTGGTGGCGCACCTGCCCCCGCTGGATGCAGGAGATGATGAGATCATGCGCGGCATCGAGGAACAGAGGGAGGAGAAGAACGACATACAGACTACAGGCGAACTGCGAACCCCCAAGAGAGGCAAAAGCTTCAAGGAGTTCTGTCTGGCTTTGACCAATGATCTGGACTGGGGATCGCCTGAGCCCGAGCCCGAGCCAGAGCCTCAGCAGCAGATTGACGAAGGTCCTCAAGGCGAACTCGAGTCAAGAATGGATGGCACGTTGCAGAGTGAATTTGATCCGGACCCCTGGGACAGCATCGGTACCGGGGCGCAATGGGCAATCCTGTCGACTCTCTGCCAAGCTCATAAGTTCTCAGTGGCCGTCCACCGCCTGAACCTTACGACAGACCAGATCACAACTTTCATCCAAACCTACATCAAATGTCATGAGGAGATTCAGGATTGGTGCAGAAAGATTGACCGGATCCCAGTATCTGATCTCATCCGACGCGCCGAAGACGGCCTTCACTCAGTGGATGAGTACGTCAATTTGGCTCGGCCTAGACTCCCCACGGATATACTCTTCCAGCACGAGATTGAGCTAGCCGGTGCGTTCTTGCGCAAGTCAGGCCATCCTGAGCTTGTTCACCTCATCGACAAGTGGCGTGGCACGTCTACAAACTTCGTCGAGCTCCCCATCAATCAAGACATGCTATCTTACTGCCGTGTCAAGCTTTACATGAGCAGAGGAAGCAACCGTGTGCAGGACTTCCAGCCCATCGAAGACCAAGAGCCAGAGCTGTGGCTCAAGCGATTGCGGGAACCGGAGGACTTCAACAACGGAGTTTGCCACTTCTACAAGTATTACGGAAACCCCTATGCGCTCAACGTCCTCGACCCTCTGCTTCCACAGCAGCAACAGCTTGACGCAAACCGTGGGGTTCCGATTGACCCCAGTTTCGTCATAGAAAGAGATGAGTCCGGCCGGGCTTTGGAGAATGTTTCCGGACGGCCTTTGCTTGATTACCGTGAGCCAACCGGCGACGAACAGCAACAGCTATCCGTGGAGCAAACAATCGCTCACGACCTGGCTGCTGGCGACGCACACAATCGGCCTCGCAATACCGCCACGTTGAATCAACAGGAATTCCAAAAGACAGCCGGGGAAGTTGTGGGAGTCGCAGCTCCTACAAAGACTAGTAATGCTGCACCCAAGCAGACCACCTCATCGAGAATAGCAACTTCTCATCGGCCCAGGCTATTCAACAAACCTGCCCCTGGTCAACAATACACGTCACTGGCGGCCAGACGAGGAACTGGAAGCTACACTTCACCGTTCATCCTCGACGCCTCCGAGTCTCCAGAGTCCCAGCCAGGCCGTAGTGGCCTTGATGCGGTCGTGGAAGAGAGCGAGCCAGCGCACTTCGAACAGACACAAGTTGACAGGGAACAGACTGCAGCCCACGAGAGCGCAGAAGTCCATAGTGAAGCAGGAAACGTCTTGGATCCCGTTCCGAACCAAGCCCCGCTTGAAGCCTCTGGCGTCGAGATGAGCTATGCTTCGCAGCCAGCGCCCAAATCATCTCGCAAGCGGGCGTGCGATGACAGCGATGACGAGTATGAGCCGTATGATGATGGTCAAAATGATGACGAATACCTGCCCCCTGCGAAAAAGCCCCGAAAGGCGAACACTAAGAAGCCGAATGCTCGAAACAAGACGATGCCCGCAGCGCAGCAGGCCCGACAGTCGAAGCAGACCAAGAGACAGTCGAAGCAGACCAAGAGACAGCCAAAGCAGACCAAGAGACAGCCAAAGCAGGTTGCTACTACGATGGCGAAGACTGCCAATCAACCTATTCCAACCGCACCGGAGGCTTTTCACCACGAACTTGCTCATGTCCAAAAGGCCAACCAGGCTGGATTCGCTCCAAACCTCCCTGTACAAGCCGCGCAGTCTGAGATGAACCAGTACGGTACCTCGCAGCTCAGCAACTCTGAGAATAATCTCACGCCTTCTGTTGTACCACAGCCCGTCAAGCGTGGCCGTGGTCGTCCTCGCAAGCATCCAAGATCCGAGGATCTCGCTGCCCGAGGTGTTGGAGCTCAACCCTCAGGTTCGCAAGAGCCTGGTAACGCAGCTGGAGCTCAACTGCCCACTACAAAGACAACCTCCAAGCCCACAGTAACCAAGACGAAGAAGAAATCCCCAAAGACACAGTCAGATCCTGATGCTTCAGCATTGACAGCATCTGCAGAGACATTTGGTCCTTCTAGCAGTTCTGAGAACTCCACGGCCCCAGCACCTACGACAATGGAGTCTTCCGCCGAGCTCACAACAGGAAACCAGTCACAGGTAGCCAAACCCAGGATAAAGATCAAGAACTCGAAAGGACAGACTGGCCAAAAGTGTTCGCCAGTGCCTCCTCCAGTCCTGCCTCCCCAGGCATCGCCTGCCTCACAGCCTCAGAACTGCACCGGTGCTCAAATGGGACACATCAGCTACAGCCAACTAACTGCACAGTCTGCTACTCGCACCCAGTCGCGTCCCGCCCAAGCCCTTTCTCCAGAACACATGGAGTACCATCAGCGCAATAAAAAGTCAGCCCATGAGGCGGCTTTTCGACCAGAAGCAAGCGTGCACAATTCGCAGGTTGGCTTCGGATACTCAGCCTACAGAAACACTTCCTCCATGCCGTTCGAAGCTGCCGCTGCTACGGGTACTAGCATGCAAGTCCATCAAACCAATGCACACGCAGGCGGCCAAAGTTCTCCATTTGGTGTCGCTTCTCAGCACCCACAAGCTCGTCCTCAGTACGTTGAGAATAGGCTGGGATCGGAGGCAGGACATCATCAAGCGCCCCAGGCCACTAGCCCCCAGACAGCTGTCCAACCAGCTTCACAGCCTGTTCAATTTCCTTCCGTTCTCAGAACGGTTCAACAGCAAGTCAAGAACACAAAGAAGGCAAAGCACGCAACTGAGAACTCAAAGAAAGACTGAGTGACGTTATGGACTCAGCTATGATGTGCTGCTGTCTGAAGCTGCCTTGACTCCGATCTGTAAAAAGAGGCGAACAAACGAGACCTGAATACAGAAAAACTACACCAGCTTGGCACTACAGGTCGCCAGCAACACCTTCGCAGGCACACGATTGCTACAACACTTGCTCATTCAGGGTGTTATTTTTCTCCACATAAGAGAACATCCTTTACTTGCTTTTCTCTTTCTTCCTTTCTTAAAAGAGGATAATCCACTTGAATGCGGGAGGCGGATTTCTTTGGAGGAACGTGGATAGCCTCTTTTTTGCTTGCTTTCTTTTTGAGATTGCTTGCATTTTATTTGATTGACCGCAGACACCTTTGGAATTTGGTTTTCGGCTGCTTCATCTGGACATAAGCCTCTTTTTCATGTTGAGATACCAAAACATTGAGCCGGCTTGTAGAGTAGTACAGAATGAAGAAGATTGCTTACATGCCGTGATTCCCACCCTGTGTGATACCCTCCCTCACTGTATTTACTTTGGAGAAAGACTAGGAGGGTAATTCTTCAGGCGTGGTTGAGCCATTAGTGTTATGTAATCGCACGATGAGCTAAGCGTCCAGGGTACCCTAGTCGACCTCAACAGTGGGTCGAGCTTGCATCACCGAGCTTCACAGGACGTTACGGCGCACACCCAGTCAAGTCAATGCACAGAAGCACCGCCTCCCACTTTGAGAACCACCCCCGACTTACCCCAAGCCACGTCCTTGGCCAAGCTTCGCAAGACTCGACCTGACGACGGCCCACTCAGCAACGACAACTCTCCGCTACCAACTGGTTCTTGATATTTACAGCCGTCGGCGCCCAATCTTCTCCTTTGGTGTCTTCTCGAAAAGACGAACAGGCCAATCGTCTCCGACGCTGCCAAACGAGGCCCGAGCATCTTCAGTCCGCTGCCGCCGCCCACCTTTACACACCACCTCTCCGAACGCCTCCAGCACTCTCACAGACATCAACATGGCTCCTCGCATCGAAGCGCAAGAAATCGAGACGTATTGGAACATCTTTTCGGCTCGGACGGGCGGGTCGCAGTTCCTGACAGGAGAACAAGCCGCGCCGGTGCTGAAGAACAGCGGCCTGACGGACAATCAGCTCGAGCGGGTGTGGGATCTCGCCGACGTCGACAACGATGGCAACCTCGATTTTGAGGAGTTCTGCGTTGCGATGAGAGTCATTTTTGACATTCTGAACGGAGTGGGTGCTGCTGCTGGCTGGTCTTCATGTTTTCAGCTGCTAATGACATTGTGTTCGATAAGGAGTACGCAGACGTCCCCACGACGCTGCCCGATTGGCTCGTGCCCGAGTCCAAAGCACATCTTGTCCAAGCGAATCGCGCGCTCACAGGGAAGCAAGTTGCCTTTGAGCAGGTCGAGGACGATCCGGACTCTCCTGGCTTGAAGGACGGCTTCGACTGGTACATGACGCCCCAGGACAAGTCCAAGTACGAGTCGATATACCAGGAGAACCGGGATGCGCGGGGAGAAATCTCATGTACGTCCAAGCCCGCACGCCCCCTGCTGCCGTCATTTTGTTTGCTGACCTGTGATGGCTGCAGTCTCTGCCTTAGAAGACCTCTACGAATCCCTCGATGTTCCCGACACCGACATCCGCTCCGCGTGGAACCTAATCAACCCCTCTGCCGGCTCTTCCATCAACAAGGACGCTTGCCTCGCCTTCCTCCACATTCTCAACAACCGCCATGAGGGCTTCCGCATTCCGCGCACCGTACCCGCGTCCTTGCGCGCCTCATTCGAGCGCAACAAGATTGACTACCAACTCGACAATAACAACCCCGCCTCTTCCCGTTGGGCCACAAAGGCAGACGACTCGACGGCAACGGGACGGAAAGCAAAATTTGGCGATCAGTATCTTACTCGCCTTGGTCGCAGCGGCTTCAAGTCGAGCGGCACCGACTTCTCTACCTCCAAGACGGATGACTGGGAGGAGGTCAGGCTCAAGAAGCAGCTTCAGGAGCTCGACGAGAAGTTGGCGCGTATCGAAGCTGGCGTGGAGCAAAAGAAGGGCGGCAAACGAGACAGCAAGCCCGCTCTGGTCAAGCGGGAGCTCGAGCAGCTGCTGGACTACAAGCGAAAGGAACTCCGGGAGCTTGAGGAGGGTTCCGGCAAGGCCAAGGGCGGAGCTAGTCTCAAGAGCGTGTCTGAAGATTTGCAGACGGTGAGAGAACAAGTGGAGGGTCTCGAGTCGCACCTCTCCTCGCGACAGCAAGTACTAGAGCAGCTGCGTCGGGATGTTGAAGATGAGAAGCTCATCAGATGAGAAGCAATGTCGAACAAAAAGAAAGCATGGCGGTCTCATGAGCCCGGCTTGGGCTATTTCGTTTCTGGGGCCTGGTGCGGCTGGGAATCTTTCACGTCAAATTTACGCGGGAGTTTTTTTTTTGTTTTTTTTAATAATCTGTCCCCTTGCTTTCATGCACTTGTGCATGCAGGACCATAATGTTCATCTTGGGAGCTGTCACGGACGCGAATCCAAAGAACGCTCTGCTCGGCGGCGGAGTTGGCAGATTGCACTAGATAGATTGGGATAGTCGTAAATATAGTCTGCGAAGAGCCCACTCCTTTTCAGATGACGGAGAAGTGTCTGATTAAGAGGTTGTAAGATGTAGGTACAAATAAAACGGTTACAAGAACACCCCCATTGAAGTCGTCGTCATCGGCCTTACTCATCGCCCGCTCACCATTGTGAACCATTTGTATACTTGGGCAGCCAGTCTGAGCCCAACGTGCGACCCTTGACGGCCCAGACGAACAGGGAGGGGACCTTGACCCAGCCGACGCGACCGGCGCCGCGGCTACGACCAGTGGAGCATACAAAGATGTCGACCGGCATGCCCTTTACGACTTGCTGGTCCTTGCCCTTGATGGCGAGCTCGATATTCTTTACGACGCCGGCGGCCTGCTCATGTGATTTTGATTAGTTTCGGTCACTTGTTTGTTTTCGAAAAGGAATGTAGGGAGAAACAACCAACCTGCTTGTCGGTCACCATGAAGCCCGCGCGGGGTTTGGAAACCAAGTCTCCGCAGGCCCAAACGTTGTCGGCACCTTTCACGCGCATACAGTCATCAACGCTGACGTATTTGCGCTCCGTCAGCAAGCTGGGATCCAAGAACTCGGAGTTGGGGATCAGGCCCATGGTCGGAAGGTAAAGATCTGTCTTGAGCTTCTCGCCGTTCATGAGCGTCACCTCGGTCTGGCCGTCGGGCAAGGGACGGGAGTTGGCGACCCGGGCGTTTCGCTTGACTTGCACGCCCAGCCGGACGATCTCGTTCTCGATGCCCTTCGCAGCGTGGTCCGAGCCGAGAATCTCTTCGTCGCCGCTGAGGAGGATGACCTCTTTGTCCTTGTACTCGAAACGGATCTCGGCGGCGGTCTCAACACCGGTGGGGCCGGCGCCGGCGACAACAACGTGCCGGGCCGCCTTGACCTTCTCCGCCGTCTGGTGCAGCAAGCCAAGCGTCTTCTCGTGCGAGTCAGCGCTCTTCCACGGCATGTCGGTGCTCGCGGAGCGGGCGCCGGTTGCGAGCACCAGATAGTCGTAGGGCAGGGATCTCGGGCCGGAAGCAGTGGAGACAAGGGCCGACTTGCGAGCCAGGTCAAGGCCGGTGGCGGTGCCGAGAACGAATTCGAAGCTTTCTTTTGGGTAGTGTGCGAAGCCGGACTCAATCGGTTGGAAAACCTGCTCATCCTTCAATACGCCCGGGACAATGGCACGGACAGATGCCATATTCCAGTAAAAATGAGTTGTCTACCATGGTGTCAGCCCGAAATGGCCTTTTTTGGCACCTTTTTTTTTTTTTTTTCTCCGAGAGAATCATGAACCCAATAGCAAGTCCTTTGCCGCCCCCATGCGCAAGACGGTGGATCGCCAGCGAATACGCCGCCTCCCCACGGGCGTCCGAAGCGTACCGCAGTACTCTCCGGTTCCTGCAATGGTCGTCCGGGCTCCCAGTTGCCCTAACAATCAACACATGCACATGTCTTACCTTTGAAACGAGAATGACTCTGAGATCCTGCTCATCCTTTCTCGTGTACTTGAGCAGGCGGTGCGCAACCGCGAGACCGCCGTATGCGGCACCGAGGATAACGACTGTCTTGACCATGTTGGTGTCGATTTGGGGGCTCGATGCTGGCGTTAGGTGAATGAAAGCTATGAATTCTTGTGCAGATGGAGATACTGCGCTTGAGAACAAGTTGAACCGACCAATGTGTATCAGCAATTGCGTGAGGGTATTCGTCTAGTCGTCCAAAATTCTTAAGAATCTTGGGAATCTCTAGTAAAACACCTGGCAGGCTTCTGGCTTTTATTTGCATTCGCACTCTGCGAGGTCCGAGACTTGCAGAGCAAAAACGGCATGGAGTGCACCCTTCGGGTCGCAAGGAGCAGATACGCGTCCTCGCCCAGAGCTAACGAACAACGCGGAAGTCTCATTAGTATTTTTGGACAGGTTTCAGTGTCCAAGTCCGTGCCGGTTGGTGATACAACATGTGGTAGGTCAGCTCAGCAGTATTGTCCGTCCTTGACCTGGTAGAGTGTCGATCTGCGGTGTCCGTCCGGGCTTTCCCCACGCGCAGACCAAGACTTGATGGCCTGTCATTTGACGGCGTTGCGGAAGAAGGGATGAAAATGAGATTGGCCATCATGCAATGTGCTCAATGTAGAAAGCCGGTGCAAGCAGAGAGTTGATGGAGGGGATTGCTGAGATCATCTGTGTTTCCCAGTCGTTTCCTAACGGACTGATGTCGGTTGTTTTGACGCGTCAACGCCCTCTAGGACAACACGGCAAAGTGCGTCGCGCAAAGCTGCGCGGAGCTGGCAGAAGCAGTTATCCGATTCGTCTGGTCATGGATCAAGCGGCAGGAAAGCGTTGCGCAGGAACCTTATCCAGACATGAGCTCAATGGCCATGGCAAACCTGGAAGTATCCACGCGAGTGCTCCAGCATCAGATTGCTGAAGAGGTAGGTGTACGGCCCCGACAAAGCGCATACTGTCTGTGAAGCCCCTTCGCTTCACGGAAAGGCAAAAGTGCCGACACCGGCGAGAGCAGCACACACCAGAAACGTTGTTCTGGCAGAAGGAGGACCCTCAAACGGCTGCTCATTCAAGCGGTCAGTGGCAACCAGAAGAGCGCTGAAGCCTAGATCGAGTGCAAGAACGCCTGCGAGGTGCTCCTCTATGCATAGTAAAGAGCTCGTCACCGTGGACGAATGCCGTGTGTCCAATCAAAGTGCCTGGCGGAACTCTGCGGCTAGCTCAGTCGCAACGTGACCGAATGGCCGTCTCCTCGATGGCATCGGAGGGCGAGAGGCATCTTGGAGCCGAGGTCAGCCAAGTCCAGTCATGCTGGTACCCAAACCCCCGTTGAGAGGTCTGGCAACCCCACATGCGCTGGAAGGACGTTAGCCAAGCACCTGCACCATCGCTTTGGCCCCCAGTCCAGTCCGTTCCTTTCCCCAAGTTCCAAGCTCCGCCAGAGCTCTGCTGTGGGCAGCCACCTGCACCTCTTCGTGAACCGTGTCGGCAGGGACCCAGTCGCTGTGGCAAGGGACTTCTGGCCTGTGAATTCGTCGAGTGGTACGTCCATACGTGCTTGGTAGTAGTACTTGGCGGCTATATGGAGCAAGGTGCCAACGGCAAGTGCTCCTTTGTGCGAGGTGGCCTGTGGCGGTGCAATCAGCAGCGATGCCAGGGCGCCCACCTCAACCTAACCTAAATGACAGCATCAGCTGCCCCGCGCGCATATGATGAAGCGTGGGCGGGCGGGTGGACCTCCTAACCCCGCCAAAAGATCCAACCCTTTCCTCCGCCCCTCAACACTGGACAACCTTCTCCACGAAACGCTCAACAATCCGTCCTTCGACCATATCTCGAACCAGATTCTCGACAACTTTAGACTTAGATCTTTCTTGTCCAAACGGACCTCACATACACCATGTCTGCCCCTCAGAGCGAAGCCTTCAAGCAGGCTGTCATCGACAGCAAGAAGCTTACCCAGAAGCCCAGCAACGATGAGCTCCTCGAGCTCTACGGTACGTTTTCGTCGCCTCTTTTGCAAACCTCAAGCTTTTGTAGCTGACGATCTATCGCACCGCAGCGCTGTACAAGGTCGGCACTGGCGAGAAGATCGCCGATGCCCCCAAGCCCGGCATGTTCGACCTGAAGGTAAGACCTGGTCGCCGCCAAACCCCCGCATCCCACGTGCAGTGCTAACGAGACACGCGATACAGGGCAAGGCCAAGTACAACTCGTGGCAAAAGGTCGTCGACGAGGGCAAGACCGTCGAGCAGGCCCAGGAGGAGTACATCGCTCTCGTCAACAAGCTCAAGGAGTCTTACGGCTACGACGCCAACAAGGAACCCGAGACCGTCGGCGCGTAAACGTACCGCGAACATAGGAATGCCATGAGAAACGACACGGTTTGAAGCGCAATGACGAGTCTAGTCGCAGACACTTCACATGAAAATCTCCAAGGATCAATATTACGATACCACATGTCCCTTGACAGACAACCGCGCCCTCCGTTCGCATGTGAAAGTGTGCTGCCCCGTCCATCTATGCTACTCCCCAAAACCTTCCCATGTTGTCTGGTTCTGCATGGGCCATCGTTGCGACCCAAGGTATCTCGTCCTTTGCATAATGCTGAAGTGGTAGGTTGTAGGGTATGCGAACGCCAACAACTGGGTTGCTTCCTTCGGTGTTGTTCGAGGGCAAATCTGTCTGGAACGTGCTCACCATGGTCGCCTTTTCGGCCATCATCTCAGGCCATACCAAGACGCCGATCTCCCACGAAGCAATTCTCACCTCCTGCGAGGCTCCTGCCACCTCGCCCCATGCCTGCTTTGAAATGTTGGCCGATGTGACGAGCGCCCAGTCGATTGACTTCTCACCATACCGAATGTATGTCTTTATATGCGGTGCAGCTCGCTTCCTGCCGGCCTCTCTCACGGTCGCTGTTTCAGGCAATGCTACTACCTTGTCAGTCATGTGGTTGATCAAGCTCGATGAGCACAACACCGTCCCTCACCTTTTCCATTGGGGGCATCGTTTCCCCAGTGGCAGAAGAAAGGATGCAGATAGGCTAGTTGCTTCGCCTGCTGTTGGGACTGGATCTTGGTGTGAATTGACCCACCAGATGCATAGCCGTCCAAGCTTCTCCTGATCTCGTCGGCCGTCGGAAACACAACCTTGAATGTTGGCTTGGTCTTTTTTGGCCCCTTGTCGCTGGATTCTGAGAGAGGGTTGAAAAGACACTTCTGAATCCAATTGTCGGTGGCTCCCAGAGTAGCAATGGACGAGATCTGCACCACAATCTCCGACTTGCCGTCTTGGACAGGAACATGGCGAAGTACGTGCTTTAAGGCGGGCCAACCCCATGATGTTTGAGAGGTATCATGTATTGAATGGCGGCCCGGCACGCTTGCGATGAGTGCAGCCTTCACGCTTGAGAAGTCATACTGGCTTAACTTGTCGACCAGATCCCTGAGCGTGGGTCTCCGAACATTGTAAGCTTTCAAATAATTCAAGAGGTCGTGCTTGAATCTCTGGCCGGTCCCGATAGCATCTTCGCAGGACGTACTGTCCTTTTCTTTCAGCAAGCGAAGAAGGGGCGACATCCAGACGGCGTTTGTCATGTTGGTCCAGTCCTTGGCGATCATGTTGGCGGTGTGTATGACGACCTGCGCCGAATCATCATGACGGACCAGTATCATCATTTTGGAATGGTGCGTCCCAAACATCTCTGGCATATAGGCACCGTGAAGCTCTACATTGCTGTATGCTGAGGCTTCTTCCTGGGCCAAACATGAGCAACTGTGCCGCTATCGGCGTTGGAATCTTTCATCGACTTACTTGAAGGGCCAAGCGGTTTGGGTCTTCTCTTTTCCAGAAGCCATGGACCACGTGGACTTTAACAAGACTCTTGGTGTCCTCGTCGAAGTGGCTCATTAGAAAATGGATATCATGCAGGTAGTTGAACTCCCAGCACTCTGCGATCAAGGGGTCTCCGAGGATGTCTTTGAGGGCAACTGCATCTCGATTCGCTGGTTCTGGGAGATCCCGGATCCAAGTCAGCTGGAATGGAGATTTGATGCGCTGGCCACCGTTATTCTTCTTGCGAGGAGGACTGATTGGTCTGCTTAGAGATCGCGGCCCTTCTGCCTGCGTCGACGTTTCCGACTCCTCGACGTCGTCACATATGCGGGCTCTTTTCGTGGGCCGTTCCATCTCGAGCATCCAAGAAACGACGCTTGTTCGGAGTGGCCGCGTTGATGTGCAATCGATGAACCTGTCGCCAAAGTTGAATCGTGGACAAATGCCTTTTAACGGGAGGAGGGAAGAGAAAGGTGGAATCAACAGCGGTTGCTCTTGCATAAAGCAGCGAGACGCCGGGGCTTGGGCTGGTGCGTTGGACACCGCGCACCGCGCCTGCCTGCAGACCCATTTACGTGCCTGTAGACACCTCACCTGCATAAAATATTTGTCTGGACAGAATCAAACCCTGTTTCCAACAAGAAGAAAACTTCTGCTAGAAAGAAGAAGCTTTTTAAGATTTCAGGCTTGAGCTTCACACTCTGTGTAAGTCATGATATCTTGGGTTCCCTGTGAAGTGGCATCTGAAGCAGTGGCGCAGGGTTCCAGGGCCGAAACCTTCACCCCGCAGAGCCACTGTGCTACCGACCTTTCCCTGTAAATTACCGAATGTGCCTGGAGGTAGCGCTGCCGCAGAACACTGCGATGGCGCGACATTTTACCATCCCGATCTCATCGTTCAGTTACGACACTAACACAACCAATCGACTCAAGAAAACTCCCCTATGGAGCCAGTTGACAGAACCGTGTTCATATATGCCAGATTGCTCTCAAACGTTCGGTTGTCGTCACCGACGCAGGCGGCTTTCGGCCCGCCAATCTCGGAGATGGCATCGTCTTCGACCGAATCGACGTGGTCTCTCGTCCTAAACAGCCCCAAATTTCGTTTCTGAATTTCTTGCAGAAGCTGTTTGAAAAGGAGAAACTCGTCATATGCTGGCACTGTATCTCCTGGCTGGCGCCTGGCTTCCTCGCCGAGCATTCTGGCCATCAAAATCTTCATCGGCGGGTCACCTGCGACGTTTGGCTGGGTTGGACTTAGACCCCTTATGCAGGCATCCCTAAGAATCTCGATGACATCTAGATTTGCACTCTGAGCCGCCAAGTGCAAGATGCCAGACCCGTTCTTATCGATCGCATCATACCTCGCTTCTCTTTTCAACAAAAGCTCCAATAGGGCGGCGTTTCGCCACAGTATAGCGTCGTGAATGGGTGTTCGACCTTCATAACCTGCCTGCTTCGAGGGAAGGTCGATGTCCATGCCATTATTCACGAGCAATTCCAACGACCGTTCCCAATTGCGTCTCCTGAGGTCATTTCGCTCAACATTGCAGACTCCACGAGCAAACCATGACAGGGGAGTTTCCCAGTTCAGGTTCGTCTCAACAACGGTGTCACATCCATGTTCCAGAAGAATTCTAATCATGTCGGAGTTGTTGAAAGCGAATATGATGGGAGTCTCTCCTCTGGGCCGAATGTGATTTTGAACTCTAGCGTGCACATTTGCCCCAGCTTTCAAGAGTGCCGAAGCCATCTTGATCGAGCCGGGCGGCTCGTAGTGGGCAGCGTAGTGAAGAGGTGTCCAACCTCCTCGCGTTCTCACTTCTAAGCCAGCGCCTCGGCTACGGAGGACCTCAAACGACTCGTGGTCGTTCAAGAAGATTGCCCAGTGCAGTGGAGACCACCCGATATCGTCAAGGCAATCTATGTCGGAAGGAGCCTGTGTAATTGCATCTGATAGGGGAATCGGAACAACTCCGAGTACAGAATCGTGTAAGAGCGTTGAGTTTTCTCCTTGTCGGTCTTCTCCACGTGCAAGTTGCTCAATCATATAGCGATGGTCTGGATTGAACGTGGAAAGATGGTCTTGCTTCGATGCGGAGTAGAGAATTATACGTGCCCGCTTAGGCACGGTCCTAAGTAACAATGAGAAATGGACTATTTGAGTTGCTTGGCGCATTTGGTGAACAAACCATCCTGTCATGTTTCGAGTGCTCCTCGACCAGCCATGATCGAGAAGAAACTTGGCGACCTCCAGGTTTACGTTTCGAAGTGAGATCTGGAAAGATGCCAAGAGTCAACAACAGACGAAATAAAGATAACCATAGAGTCGTAGCGTGTCAGCCTACCATGAGAAGTGAGTTACCAGCTTCATCAACGTCTGTGGGCAGTACGGTTGAGTTTGAGATGCCTCGTTTGATCCAATCTATGTCGGAGTTGTAGACCGCTGACAGCATCTGCACACTTGGCACTACCCTCGGAACTTGCAAATACAAGCTCGACCCCAATCCAGTGAGACTCCCCCAAGAGGTCGTGAGAAAGACGGCTCTGGATACGAACCATTTCGGAAAGACGTAGATGAGTCGCAGAGAGGAATGATTACGGCACCCTAAATCATCGCACTTCCGGGGCATCAATAAGGGCATGTCGTTATACTCGAAGAACAACGATCCTAGCACTGACCGTACCCATGTCGGTGTCCGAACCGACGAAGGTGAATGACACTGGCACTTGCAATAGGGGGTGCAAACCTGTCGGAGTGAGGCGTGCACAGAAATCGATGACAGGGGCTCGTCGACTTCGGCATTCGACCTCTGTCCATGGGGAGTGGATGGCAGTGATAGCTCTGCGCTCGTGGCCTCAGCGGCTAGCATCCGATGAAGTGAAGCGCATATGTCGTTGTTCTTGCTCTGCGTTTCTCGAAGCCCAGCGTTGCCCGCCTCGATTCTGCCGTTCATCGTTTTGAAGCAGGCACTGAAAGCTTGTTGTCCGTCGAGCACGACTTTTGTTTGCCGTGTACTATGCAACATCAGCAAGTACGAAGCTATATAGTCCGATGAAAATCAAGTCACCTTTGTGACGAAACAAGAGCAATGAAACGCAACATCAAGCTCTGCTTGGTTTTGCTCGCTTTCGCCCGAAGCCTGGCGACGTTGTCCTTCTCACGCAGCCACTTCCGCTTAGAGACACGCAGCTCTCCAACAATGTCTGCATGCCGGTCTGACTTTTGGAGGCGTCCGCAGAGGGCTTCTAATTCATGAACGATGGAGGCAAAGTCGTCTTCCAAGGTCTGTATTGCAGAAGCAGTGATGCCAGGGACGGCTGCATTTTTGGTCTCACCGTTTTCCATCTCCTGAAGAGAAGTTTTGACTTGCTCGGCGACTGCCTGGAGGTCTGTGAGCTCATTGCTAAGGTCGCAGAAGTCCGCTGGAATCTGTCGCATGGAGGAGAAGAACTTGACTCCCACACCGAGGGCCTGAACTAGAGCGATCACGCTCGTCGTGATCGAAAGGGGATCCATGCTAAATTAGTTGAGCAGAGATTTGAGGTTCACATCAGCCGCATGGTCCAAGATGTGCAGGACAACGAAGGGCTGCGAGGAGAACGACCTGCATATCAGCTGAGCATCTGGGCGAATCATCTACTCTTTGGCCGAGCAGCGCAGGCCAAGCCATATTGAGCGTACGGAGGCGGTGCAGCTCACAGGCAACTGTCAGTCAACACGGCAAACACCTTGTCTGAGCCCTTTCAACGAGGCCACGACAGAATATTAGGCCTGACTTGACGAAATATTGCCGGAGTTAAGCGATGAGACTGATATGAGTCGTCACTCTCTCAGTCATGCTAGCCTTATGTAATCCGGGGTCACTGAGAGTTGTCCACACCAACCCCTGGCTGGAGTGGTGGTGACGATCCGCACGTGTCCAGGAAAGCAAGACTCTAGACTTTTCCTTGTTCACGAACTCGCTTTCCGCTGCGGGCGGGTGGCAATCTGGATGGAGAACCTGCTTTTGCTAGACTATTCTTATCACAATGTGTGGAGCCTTGCATTCAATGATGTTGCAGGGTTGAAGCTTGCGGGGCCTCTGAGTGGCGGGATCGAGGGCGAGACCAGGCGGGCAGCTGGCACCACGCGCTCCCAGCTCTGCGTGCGCTCACGTAATGCTGCTGAAGGTAACCGTGATTGCCTCATCTCTCAGGCAGCCCTTGCCCTTGTTTAGTCCCGGTCCTGCAGTGCTGGGCGTGGCCCTGCGCAACGGCTGGCTGGCTGGCTGGCTGGACCACGCTACCCGCAGAATCTTGACACACGGTCTTTCTCCTGACCTGCCAGCCCAGGCCTGTCACTTCCATCGGCTTTGATGCCTCCTCCCCCTTTGCCAAAGCACCACCACTACCACCACCCTTTTTTTCTCCTTCGACGCCGCTGGACGAATTCGGGAGGTTTGGGCTCAAAGACGAACGAAGGGAAGATCGATTTTATTCGTCTTCTGTCTTCCCCCCGACCGCTCAATCTCCATGACTTCAACTACTCAATAGGTTTACCTAGACCCTTTTTGTGACCCCTCGACCATCACATCACGACACGACCCGATCGATCCACTCTCCTCCTTCCCTCCACGACGCCTGCGCAACCAAGCGCATCCTCAATCGATCGCGTCCCTCTCCTCATTTTTCGCCGCATCTTCCACGACACGCTTCGCGACTTCTCTTCTCTCGAACCACTTCGCACCTGCGCGGTGCAACCTCGTCGCCGTCATGAGGTTATCTCCTTTATTCCTAGTCCTCGGCTCGTCCCTACTCGGCGGAGTCCAAGCAGCAGCGAAAGAGGACGATCGCGAGAACACTTACTTCAATTCGATGAAGGTGCCTCCAATACTCGAGCTGACCCCCGATACTTTCGACAAAGAAGTCAAGTCTTCGCAGTTCATGCTTATCAAGCACTACAGGTATGCTTGCTTGCTTGCCACCCCTGTCGACGCCGACGACCGCCTAGCCGCGCGATAGCTGATTGACCGTCTTCCAGCCCTTACTGCCCGCATTGCATAGATTATGCGCCCATCTTCCAGACGCTGTACGAATTTTACTACACTTCAAAACCCGAGACCGAGGACAAGTCTTTCACGGAATTCTACGACTTCCGCTTCGCCACAGTCAACTGCGTGGCATACTTTGACCTTTGCGCTTCCCACAATGTTCAATCGTACCCCAGCACCATCCTGTACAAGAACGGCGAGGTCGCCGAACTGATCAAGGGCGTCAAGGAAATCGATCAAGTCAGCCCCATCCTTGAAAAGTACTTGGAAGCTACCAAGCCTGGATCGAGACCCCGAAGCCTCAGCCTCCCTGAAGCTGGCGATAAAAACTCTCCCGGCAAGGAGCCTGGCAAGGCCGATGACTCGAAGAAAGCTGCGGACGACAAGACCGACGCCAAAGCTGACTCCAAGGCTCCCGCAAAGGCCGATGAGAAGACCGACGCCAAGGCGCCACCTAAGGAACAGACCCCGCCTAAGGCTCCTCCTGCAAAGGATGAGAAGGCCACCGAGGCCAAGGGCGATGCGAAGGCCGATTCCAAGGCCGATTCCAAGGCAGATGCAAAGCCAGATGCCGTTAAGGCGGAGACCAAGCCTAGCACCACTGCAGAGAAGGCTGTCGCGACTCCCACGAAGGCCATTGTCAAGAAGCCTACCGTTACCCCCAACAAGGAGGGTATTTCCGTGCCTCTTACCGCGGAGAAGTTCCAAACGCTTGTCACCATGACCCAGGATCCTTGGTTCGTCAAGTTCTACGCACCGTGGTGCCACCATTGCCAGGCCATGGCGCCTAACTGGCAGCAACTGGCCAAGGAGATGAAGGGGAAGTTGAACATTGGAGAAGTGAATTGCGATGTCGAGTCCAGGCTTTGCAAGGATGTTCGCCTCCGTGGTTATCCCACCATACTTTTCTTCAAGGGCGGTGAGCGTGTCGAGTACGACGGGCTTAGAGGCCTCGGCGACTTCGTGCACTACGCCGAGAAGGCTATCGATATCTGCGACGGCGTTCAGGACGTGGATGCCGAATCCCTGCAGGTCCTCGAGGAGAAGGAGGAGGTCATCTTCATCTACTTCTACGACCATGCTACTACCAGCGAGGACTTCATGGCGCTCGAGCGCCTGCCTCTCAGCTTGATCGGCAAGGCTAAGCTCGTGAAGACCCAAGATCCCGTTCTCTTCGCCCGCTATAAGATTACCACCTGGCCCCGCCTTCTCGTTTCCAGAGAAGGTCGCCCAACATACTACCAGCCGCTTACACCCAAGGAGATGCGCGATGTCCACGGCGTTCTGAACTGGATGAAGTCGGTCTGGCTGCCAATTGTTCCTGAGATGACAGCCTCCAATGCCCGTGAGATCATGGATGGCAAGATCGTCGTTCTCGGCATCGTCAACAGAGAGGACCAGGAAGGCTTCCTGAGAGCCAAGCGCGAGTTGAAGAGCGCCGCCAACGAGTGGATGGACAAGCAGATTCTTCTGTTCCAGCATGAACGACAAGAGCTCCGTGATGCCAAGCAGCTTCGCATTGACGAGGCTGACGATCGCGGTGACCAACGTGCCTTGCGCCAAGCCAAGGCTATTCGCATCAACATGGACAAGTCCGACCGCAAGCAAGTCGGCTTTGCTTGGGTTGATGCCGTTTTCTGGCAGAGATGGATTCGTACCACTTACGGTATTGACACCAAGGATGGAGATCGTGTTATCATTAATGATGAGGACGTAAGTCTTTCCCCACGAAACGCTCACTCGGCAAACAAGCAGACTAATCATATGGACAGAACCGCCGATACTGGGACACTACCATCACTGGTAACAACATTCTTCTGTCGAGGACATCGATCCTGGAGACCATTAACAAGGTCATCACCTCGCCGCCCAAGATCAAGCCCAAGCTTACTATCTCGAGCTTTGAGAAGATCTTCTTCGATATGCGCGTCACCTTTGTTGAGCACCCTTACCTGACTATGGGCTGCATTCTCGGCTTGGCTCTTGGTGCTGCCTCCTGGTTCCGTGGCCGTGTCCGCAGGGGCCGCGGCGGCCACTTCCGCCTGGAGGAGTCTTGGGGGAACAAGGAGCTGATGAAGGAGGGCCTGCTGGGACCCAACGGTAACGGCAAGGTGGACTAGAAGCCCGACGCGCACGAAGAAGGCCTGAGAAGGGCTGAGGAGTTTAGGCACCTCCCCAAACGGGAGTGTCTTCGAAAGTTGGACTAATGGAAAGCCATGAATGAGGCTATGACTATTTGGGCTCGACTAAAGGGCGTGCATGTGCACGTTATGCACGCACGTTTCCGGGGACAGGATGAAGAAAAAGAAAACCTGAAGCATTGCGATGCCTACTCACGGAGTTGACGGGGACAATTTTATGTTTTTCCTTGCTTTCTTTGTCTCTGAGGGAACTGTGGTGCAGGGCAGGAGGTCTGTATAATACTCTTTGTTTTGGTGGAAAATGCAATGCCCTGCACGCCATTTGACAGATTATACATTATTTTATTCCAGTTACAACACATGATGATGATGTGATGACGCTCTTGGGCTGACGGGAGATGTGGACTGAGTGCAGGTCAGAGGAACATGCCTTGATGTAGACGAGGTCAACTTGATCACACATGTGAGAAGTCCTAGACGGTGTCAATTGTTATTCGATGTCCGTTGGTACGCAAAGCCAGAAATCCATTCATGACGAATCTGTCTGTTTCCTTGCTAGAATGGTGTCCATGTGTTTGACCTGCCCTGAAGCCTTGACTTGTTTCTGGCTGTTTTTTCTTTTTCTAAATCCAGAAGTCCTCCAAGTGTGTCTGTGTGTCTTTCCTGCTTGCACCACCCCCTGGGTTTTACACGCCACTGCCACTCTATGTGTACAGCTCATCAGTGAAGCTGTTCAGAGACAGACCCTCCTTGGCAATGTCATCCACGTCCACAAGGAAGTCGAGGGGCATCTCGACAATGTTACCGCGCACACGGTTGAGCCAATCCTTGACTTCCCGAACACCGCCGGGGAACTCTTCCTTGACGACGTGGCCGTACTCGACCTTGCCAACGTTGTCGCCCTCGCCCTCGCCCTCGCCCTCCTTCTTGGCGCCGGGGATGATGAAGTGGCGGGAGAAGAACTCGTCGTAGTCCTTCCAGGTCCGCACATGGTCGTTGGGCACGTTGTGGAATACCTTGGAGAAGACCTCGGTGTTTGTGCGCGCCGTGCCCTCCCACAGGTTCCAGAACTCGCGCGACATAGGATCCTGCACCAGGCGATCGGCGGGGGAGCCCCAGTCGTACATGTTCGGGCCGCGCTCGACGGACGTCCAGTTGTCGTCGGGCCGGTCCCAGCGCTGGTCGGGCAGCAGACCGAGGTGCTTGCGGAAGATCTGGCGGCGGAGGGATGCGGCGAACTTGGAGGCTGTGTAGGGACGGCCGGCCATCTCAGACTCGACGGGCGTGGGGTCCTCGATGATGACAGCGATCTCGGAGTCGTGGGTGCCGAGCTGAGAGCGATCGTTGAGGTTGGCGGAGCCGACGATGACGAGGTTGTCGTCGGCGATGAGGAGCTTGGAGTGGATGTAGAGCTCCTCGCTGACGAAGGCGTCCATCTCGGCTTCCGGCTCGCCTTGCCAGGGGACGCTGTGCAGGTCCGGACCGGCGTCCATGTAGCAGGACGAGACGGTGTCCCAGGTGTGATCGCCGACGCGGGAGGCGGCCTGCTGGTAGCGGTCGTACTGGGTGTTGCGCCCGCCCCAGCTGGCACCGGTGCCCTCGCCACGGGGCTCGTAGCCAGCACCGACGGCATCGTCATGCTCACGGCGGGCGTCCTCGTACGAGACACCGCTCTCGCGCTCAGCGCGGGACATGTCGGAGGAGACGTTGATGCGGTCGTAGTTGCGAAGGTTGTAGAAGCGTATGTAGCGGCCAGGGTCGTCGATACCGCCCTCGTTTCGGAGGGATTCTATGATGCTGTGTCCGCCGCGGCTGATGGAGTTGTATTGGAACTCCATGATGGCGCGGGTGCCCAGTGCGTCGTCCGCCTTGAGATCGCCGGCGAAGGCGGGAACGGCGGGCATGTTGACAATGACCTTGAAATCCTCGCCGTTTCGGTGGGCGCGGAGGATACGGTCGACGATGGCGCGGCCGATCTTGTTGGTGACGGGGTGCTGCTTGTCGCTCGTGGCAGTGATGAAGAACTTGTCTCTGTTAGAAGCGATGTCGGTTTCAGCAAAGGGGAGGTTTGCTTACCTGGTTCTCCATGTAGACGAAATGTTGAGCCCTGGTGATGGCATCAATATAGGCATTGGCGATGGAGTGCTCGGTGGGATGGCCGGAAGACCACTTGGTACAGCTAATCTTCATTAGTGATTGCATCTGAGACAGACAGATGGACGCCAAATTACCTGCGAGTGAGCTGGATATTGGCCGACTGATCACCGCGGTCTTGACGCAGAGGTCTGCCATCGTTCTCGGGCTGGTCGTCGCTGACCATCAAATGGCTCATGCCTCGGTTGATGCGGTCTCCGAGATCCCCGAAAAGATGGCCTGCCTGGTGGCCAGCGCCGCCGAAGAAACCACCGCCCTGGCCGTCCTCGGCAATTCTTCCCGACTCCTGGCTGAAGCCGTCGATTCTGCCATACTTTCCAGGGTTCTTCTTGGTGTACTTGTCATCAAAGATGAAGTTCCTACATCCAAGTCAGATAAAGTGTTGCTGCCGCCGAGGAATGCAGAATGAACCAACCATCTGTCGACAAAGTGTTCCGACAAGCTTTGAACGATGGGACCACTCAAGCTGATGGCAACATCAGACCAGCCCATTCGCGAGCTCTTGGTGCGGTCGACTAGCGAATGAGTGAGTATGTGTCTCGAGTGTACAGGCCGGAAATATTGACTGACGCTTGTTCTGCTCCCAGTTATCAACGTCGGCAAAGTCATAGACACGCGCGTTGTTGTAGTCTTGGCCAGGGAAGACGATGGCATCCAAGTTGCCGGGATGAGCGTCCGCAATGGGATGACCTATACGTGTGTCAGAGCGGCGCTTACTACCATTCCCAGTTCAAACCCACTGTTGGTATCCCATCTACCGAAGCCTGAAATCTAGTTAGCGGATTTCTCATCTTGATTCAATGGCTCAACCGTTGCTCATCACTTACACATATCCAACCCTCCCATGAAAGCGATTTTGTTGTCAATGAGGCAAAGCTTCTCGTGGTGGGCCCAGAACAGAACGACGCCGTCGGTGGCGGTACCGTAGATGGTCTTCAGGGCATCACCAGAGAAAGTGGATAGCTTGAACGTGCTCAAGGACAGGTTTGAGAAGTTCTCGCCAATCTCACTGTTGAGGTCGTATCCAGTGGGAACATGGTCAGGGTGTCGAAACACGCCGATGTTGGGATGAAGGCTTTCCAGGTAGGTCCTTGTGTGCTTGAGAAGATATCAGCATGAGTCAAGTATCGATGGTGTTCATGGATGGAGCTTTGGTTGCAGGTGTGCATCGACATTGACTTACAGATGACTTCACTATCGAGCGAGTTAGCTTGGTGAGAGGGGTTCTGACATGGATGAATACTCACAGGTCAGGGCGGCCTCGACTTCCTTGTAGACAATGATGTTGACCTTGACACCTCGCTCAGCAGCAGCCTTGAGCAGGTTGTCGAGACGGTATCGTTCATTGGCAGAAGGGGGCCGGCGCAGGTAGAGCTCCGGGCTCAACCACCAATCCAGAATGTAGATACTCTCGCGGGCCTCTGCATAGTGACGCGGTCAGTCGCAGTCAATAGTGCCGGCAGGATGCTCATGTTTGTGTGTGTTCTTACGCTCAATGGCCTCGGAAACGGCCCAGAAATAAGAGCATCCGTCGACATACCACTTGGCGTTGCCGGTGGTTTGCGCCGCAAAGGATTGGAATCGGTTTCCAGTGTGGGCATCGGAATGGTGCTCCTCGCAGGAGTGACCGGAGTGAGTGTGCGCATGCCTCTCTTCCCCAAAGAGGGCTTCGACGCCCCGCTCCACCTTGCGGAAGATGCGATCCATGAAGGCGGGGAGCTGCTGTAGTGAGACGGGATGAGGTCGTGGCCGAGACCGACTAGATCAAAATGAGGATGTTGTACAGGGCGAGCGAGTGCACGGGAAGAGGACAGCTGCCACGAGGAGAGGAGATGGTGGTGTTGTTGGCTAAGCTTTTGAGGAGGGGAACCGGGAGTTGAAGTTGACGATGAAACAGGGTCTGGAGAGCGACGTCAGAGGGGCAGCTCCCAATTAAGCTGCATGTGAAGCAAAGTAGGTACGAGGGGCAAACGGCGGGAGCTGAGGCAACCTACTACCACCACCACCAATGGAAGCTGGAAGCTTGGGTACATAGATCCAGGTACCTACATCGGATTTACCTCATGTTGTTGCGGTGAAGGGGAGGTGAGACGACACCTCTCGGATGGCCCGTGTGTCCGGGGCTCCCGCGAGTGGATTGATACGGGAGGTTCCCATTGCGCCGAGTTGTGATAGCCTATGGGAAAGGCCATCTTCAAGAGGGTTGCAAGGGTGAGGTGGGCAAACCTGATTTGTCTGTAACATGTGTCCTTCAGCAGTTTGACCGCTGGGGAAGAGGGGAATCCATGGAGGGGCCGACGCTAGGTGAGGTAGACTATTCGCAGACTGGTGGGTGGGTAGAGAGATACAGATGTTTGTTTACTCGTCAACAAGAGCTCTGTGCATGCATGCATGCATGGTTGGCTGCTTTGGCATGATGAACGAACCGTCGGATACACAGCCAGTGCCTCATCTCTGCCAAGGGCCGCAACTATCCGTACCTTACACCGGTTGAGATCTGGCAGACGCCGGCGCAAGGTCTCAGCTGCCAGGCTAGTCTTGACAAAGACCGAAGGAAGAACGGCTGTATGCTGAGGCCCGACATGCCGCGTCAGTCATGTCAGGGACCGCTTCGAGTTGTCGGCTGATAATATGGCAAACTGTCTAGTGCATGCAGTTTGTCGTCTTTTGATACCTATTTCCTTTTAGTTCCATAAGACTTACTCCGCTGCCTACCTAGATAAGGTACTGTAAGGTACGTAGGTAGGTAAGGTAAGGTAAGGAAATTACAGATACCTACGGGCTATTCACGAATACCTTACATTTGCAACGCCGCGACAGCGTCCGAGGTCGGGTGCTTCAGAGCGGCACACTACGCAACGACTTGTAGCCACCTCAGGTAGGTAGGTAAGGTAGGTAGGCACCTTAAGGTAGGTACCTACCTAGGTAGGTGACTGATGCTGCGGGGCAAGCCTGCTCCAGGACCCTGCCGGCGTGCGGTGCCGTGTCCCTTGCGCCGGGAATTCCCTCGCAGCCGGCGGGCTGGGCGAGCTTGGGGCCAATCCAATACCTCTATCTAGGTTCCTTACCTTACCTAGGTAGGTACGAAGAGACGGCAGACCGCTGACCAGCGCCAATTCAGCCGTTAATTGAGACTTTTGGAATGGAACCGGGAAGTGCAGGAAAGCTCCCATCACCACAAAAGTCCCCTCTGCAGACGAACCTGAGCATTTCGTATAAAACATCTACCCGTTTCTCAATTACATCAATTGACTCACACGCGGCCCCCGCCTCAGAGCAACCTGAGCCAACCTACCTCACCTTACCTAGATGCACTAGGTAGCTTGTTTTGTCGCACCTTCCTGTCTCGTGCTGTCTTTCTCACCTGAGAGAGACACACAGAGAGACAAGCTGAGGTGAGCTTTCCTGTCACGCACTCACTCACTCGCTTCCCCCTCACTTGTCAAAGATCCCCCTCACTGCTTTACAACTTCGCCGCTATATGCCCCGAGAGCCCTTTCTAGACGACCTTGCTTCTCTGGATTCCCACATTCGAGATTGCCAGGGGCCCCCGTTTCTGATATTTTGGTCCAGTTCAACTCTTGTCCAACACCTTATCCCGGTTAAGGTTTGGTGGGCGTCCAGTTCCCCAACTTCGCGCCGGGGTCAGAACACGCATACCCTCGCACCGTTCCTGCGCTGTCGATCTGTGTCAGCTCTTGACTGCCGGTCGAGTTGCACAATAACCCAAGATTACAACGGCCGCATCGCATTGGAGCCCGCCAGCGTGTCTTGAGTCGAATTACAGGGCAGACGGCGAATATCTAGCCCCCGAATTCGTCCCTCAGAGCCCGAGAAAACCCTGCGACAATGTCCTCAAGCTCGGGAACCCCCTACATATTTTCGCCCGCAGACCACAGCCATCTGATTCCGTATCTTGCTGCCCTTCATGCATCGTGCATCAGCCATGACCGGACTCTGGCCACATTCTTGCCGCCTCTGTCCCATGAGAAGTTGCTGGGTTACTGGAAGGAGCGCATTGCAGAGGTCAGTGGAGGCACTCGCATGATGCTCATTCTCCTCGACGAGTCTGAGCCAGGAACAAAGCCCAAGGGAACAGAGCTCATGGGCGTTGTCATGCTCTGGATGCCATATTCCGAGACGGGTCCTTTCCGCGGCTTTGTCGAGAAGCTTCTCATCAGCCCAAAGTTCCGTCAGCGCGGCGGTGCTAGGATGCTGATCGGTGCTTTGGAAGGCGAGTCCATCAGGAGGGGACGGACGCTATTGGTATGAGCCACCCTACATCCAGTTATCCGACACTATTGTTGACAATTTACGCAGATGCTTGATACGGAGGCCGGCAGCACAGCTGAGGAAGTATGCAGAAAGTTCGGCTACATCGAGGTTGGCAGGATTCCCAACTTCGGCATCAGCCCTGCGGTTCCACGACAGCTCAAGGATGAAGTCTTTTTCTACAAGGCGCTTCAGTCTTAGTGAACGTAGCCTGTTCTCGTCCACGGCGTTGGGAGAAGAGGAGTTATTCTAGATATTAGGACATTGTTGAGGCGACTCAAATTCGTCATAATTCCGTGGGCCAAAGACGGGATTTGAAATATACTGGTTTTCTGAATTCTCCTGTCTCACCATCGACTTGATTAAATCCCGATGGACTACTTTGCTGACTGGCTGCAACTTGTGGGAAACAAATTGGAAATACTCGGTGACTGGTCGGGAAGATACTTCTCGCCCTGTCTGCATTTGACCTTCGATGCGACTGCATGTGTTCATGCAGCTTTGGCATCCTCTCTGAAGAACGTCTTGGCCAAAGTCCCCCCGCCAGACCGGAGACAGCTTACATATCCGAGTCTGTAACGCCGATCGGCGACGCTGGCAACCCCACTCCGAAGCTGAGCTTTTGGAGCAGACCTCACCTTTCCCAGCCGGGACTGAGCCGTTCTTTGGGATGCGGGGACGGCGAAGCTCGTTGGCTCGATAGCTGTGATATTCACAGAGCCCGGGATCACGCAATCTATCCACAATCAGATACCACCGGCATCACGGCCGGTATTTCTGCTGTAGTTGGGACGTCTCGGGTGAGAGGGGAGGCTGGAGACAAATGGATATATCTAGCCAAGAGATCTTCCACTTCTGACAATGCCGAGACAGCTGTTAGCTACTTAAGAGCCGCAGTTTCCCTCAACTCGCAACTCGCAACTCGCAACTGCATCTCTCCCTCTCTGCCATTGTGTCACACACAACCTGTGCCTTGCACATTGATCGTTCCACAATGTCCGATATACAAAAAAACGTCGAAGCCGCATCCGAAAGCTACTCTTCCGGCTTCACCAAGGGGCATCTGGCGCTGCCTCCGGCCAAGAAGTATCTAGTCCTGACTTGCATGGATGCTAGAATTGACCCGGCGCGGGCTTTTGGTATCGAGCTAGGCGATGCGCATGTCATACGCAATGTGAGGGCTCAAACCTGGCAACGTTGACTGGTCGGCAGCTAATGTTGAAATCAACAGGCTGGCGCATCTGCCGTAGATGCGCTTCGCAGCATTGTCATCTCTCAGCAACTTCTCGGCACGCATGAGATCGTGCTCGTCAAGCACACTGGCTGCGGGATGCTGACTTTCAAGAACGAGGACGCCTACGCACTCGTTGACCAGAATTTAGGGTTTGTACCTTGAAGCCACGGCTGACCAGGCCTTTCTCCGCTAATGTGCATGTAGAGCTGGAGCGTCTGCCGAACTCAAGTCTCGCAGTCTCGACTTTCTGCCATTTTCTGATCTGGAGGAGGCTGTCAAAAAAGACATTGACTACATCAAGGGGACTGAGCTTGTCCCGCAGAGCGTGGCGTTGAGCGGCTGGATCTACGAGGTTGAGACGGGCAAGACGAAGCGTGTTGTTTGAAGCTAGACAAGCGAGCGGAGAAGCGGTCTGGTTTGGGCAGCGGGAGGGCGTACTAGTGAGGTGTTTTATTTAGGGAGGTGCGGACGCGGCGTCAACGATTTTGCTCGGTTTTCCTGTTGAAGTAGCTCAGATGTTGATGCTAATGGAAGTCATCGAAACTTTGGTTGGCATTGTCGAAGCGCGAACCCCTTCCTTCTTAGCTGCCTTTTTCTGTGATGCAGCGACGCCACGATCCAATTGGACAGCGGGGCAGATGTGGCTGCCAACCCCGCTCTCGTGCGCTCCCACGTCCCTGGGCGCTTACCTTGGTCGGGATTAGCCTGAGGCAATAAACAAAGGAGGCAGTCGCCCAAACGCGGTCCAGTTAGAGAAGACCATGTCGCGACTCCCAATGTTTACACCGGGGCAAATATCAACATCGCAAGGGGGTTGCTACCAACAACAAAAGCCAGCGCACACAAACCCACCATCTGACTTCACGATCCCGACCAACATACCCTCCTTTTGCGCATGTAGAAAAGGGACGTTGACGAGCTGGCACACTCGCTCTCCTCCCCCCTCGTTTCCCTCTCACGAGCCTTCGTGCCAATTGCGCGCCTGGTCCGCCCAGCTAGCCGTTTTGCGATTGTCGATTCTTCTTTGTATTGTCGACGGCCGCCGACTTTTCGACGACCACCACCGCCGCCGACCGTAGGGACAACTGCGTTTCGTCTATTCTCGTGTTCCTCCCCGCGCCTCGGGGAGCGTAAGCTGTACAGAATGAGTTCGGACGACGATGCCTCCGTGTTTAGCATGGGAGAGGAGTCGGATTTTGCGCCGGTATGTTTGCTTCTTCGTGATCCCAAATTCTTGCCTACGTGTGGATACCCGATCACGCATTATCACTTCGATCACCAACTCCTTCTGTATCGCAATCTGAGGAAGGAGCGCTCTAGCTTGGTCACTCCTTCCTGTCGATAGCTTGCTTCCTGTCGCAGGGTTTTGCGCTCTGCTGTCCGTTTACCCACAACCCATCCTCTCACAACAAGCTGCTATTTCGTCGCGAAGCGTTTGCGACGGAGTCCGCCAGCTGAACCGCGCAACCACACCTTTTCTTTCCCACTTGTTTGCACGCTTTCGCTCCTGTATCCAACTCCCCTCGATCAACTTCCCTGTACTTTCTTTTTCACACCTCTCACTCTCAAAATGTCTACGCTGCCGCCGCCCAAACCGACGCCGCAGCCGGATGTCCCTGCGTCCATCGCCACGCTTGACAGCTTCGTTGGGGCCACCACTGATCCGTCGCAGAAGCCAAAGGCCAAGGCTCCTGTAAAGAAGGCGCCGGCGAAGAAGTTGACGCAAACCACCCTCAAGACCAAAGCCGCACCCAAGAAGCGCGCGAAACCCGACAGCGACGACGATGACGCCGCTTCCTTTTCCAACACACCTCCCAGCTCTAAGAAGCTTAAGAAGGCTCCTGCCGCCAAGAAGTCGAGCGGGAACCCCCTGGCGGAAATCGAGAACGACAGCATGATGCTCGACGATGACGAGCCGGCCGCTTCAGCGCCAAAGTCGAAGAAGAATGCCACCGACACCTACCAGAAGCTCACCCAGCTTGAGCACATCATCAAGCGTCCCGATACCTACATTGGCTCAGTCGAGCCTACAGAGCAACCCATGTGGGTTTTCAACAAGGAGACGAAGCTTATGGAGTACCGCAAGGTTACCTTCGTGCCTGGTCTCTACAAGATCTTTGACGAAATCTTGGTCAACGCTGCCGACAACAAACAGCGCGATGCTACCATGACCTACATGAAGGTTACCGTCGACCGCGAGAACGGAGAGATCTCTGTCGAAAACAATGGAAAGGGTATTCCTGTCGAGATCCACGGAAAAGAGAAGATTTACATCCCGGAGATGATCTTCGGTCACCTCCTGACGGGTTCAAACTACGACGACGAGGAGAAGAAGACAGTGGGTGGTCGCAATGGTTACGGTGCGAAGCTTTGCAACGTCTTCAGTGAGCAATTCACTCTCGAGTGCCAGGATTCCACCAACGGAAAAAGGTATAAGCAGGTCTGGACCGACAACATGAGCAAGTGCGGCAAGGCGAAAATCACGAGCAGCAAGACTAGTGACTTCGTTCGTGTTACCTTCAAGCCCGATTTCAAGCGTTTCAGCATGACGGGCATCGACGATGACCTTGAAGCTTTGATCCAACGCCGAGTCTACGACATGGCCGGTACTGTCCGTAACGTCAAGACCTACCTGAACGGCACCCACATCAAGCTTGCGTTCAAGGGTTACTGTGAGATGTACGCCAAGGCCATCGCCAAGGAACGCGGTGCCGAGGAGGGCGTCGAACCCAAGGTTGTTGTCGAGATTGACAAGACCGATGCTCACCCACGTTGGGAAATTGGGTTCACGGTCTCGGACGGCTCGTTCCAACAAATCTCGTTCGTCAACTCTATTGCAACCACGTCTGGCGGCACACACGTCAACTACATCGCCGACCAAATCACTGGGTCCTTGCTCAAGACTCTCGACAAGAAGAAGAAGGGTCACGCCCTCAAGCAGAACCACATCCGCAATCATATCTTCATTTTCGTCAACTGTTTTGTCAACAACCCCGCATTCACTTCCCAAACAAAGGAGCAGATGACTACCAAAGTCAGCCAGTTTGGTAGCAAGTGTCCCCTGACTGAGGATTTCCTGAAGAAGATCGCCAAGTCCGACGCCATCCAGAACATTATCGATTTCGCCGAGAAGAAGGCGGACAAGATGATGGCCAAGAGTGACGGAAACAAGCGGTCCCGCATCAGCAACTCGAAACTAGTCGATGCTAACTTGGCTGGCACCCGCCACGGCCATGAATGTACTCTGATTCTCACGGAAGGTGACTCTGCCAAGAGTTTGGCTGTCGCTGGACGAGCAATCCTGGACCCTGACCGCATCGGAGTCTTCCCCCTTCGTGGTAAGATGCTCAACGTACGTGATGCATCGATTGACCAAATCACGAAGAACCAGGAAATCCAAAACATCAAGCAATTCCTTGGTCTCAAGCACAAGGCTGTTTACAATGACACGAAGGGTTTGCGGTACGGTCATCTCATGATCATGGCTGATCAGGATCACGATGGTTCTCACATCAAGGGTCTTCTCATCAACTTCCTCCAAGTCCAATACCCCTCCTTGCTTCAGATTCCGGATTTCTTCCGAGAGTTCATCACTCCCATCGTGAAGGTATGGCAGGGCCCGAACCCCAAGAAGCCGCAGCGCCTCAAGTCCTTCTTCACCCAGCCCCAATACGAGGAATGGAAGGAATCACACACCAGCGAACTTTCTCGGTGGCACTACAAGTACTTCAAGGGTTTGGGTACCAGTTCAAACGAAGACGCCCAAGTCTATTTCACCAACCTTGATGACCATCTGAAGGAGTTCAACACGATGAAGCCTGATGAGGCTGAGCTTTTCGAGCTCGCCTTCTCCAAGAAGAAGGCCGACGCGAGAAAGGAGTGGCTCGGCAACTTCGTCCCTGGTACATACCTCGACCACTCCACCAAGTCTATTACCTACACGGACTTTGTTAACAAGGAACTCATTCTTTTCAGTATGGCCGATAACATGCGATCTATCCCATCTGTTGTCGACGGACTGAAGCCTGGTCAGCGTAAGGTCATGTACGCCTGTTTCAAGAGGAACTTGACCAAAGATCAAAAGGTTATTGAGTTGGCTGGTTATGTCTCCGAGCAGACGTCGTACCACCATGGTGAAGTCTCCCTCCAACAGACAATCATTGGCCTCGCGCAAAACTTCGTCGGTTCCAACAACATCAACTGCCTTGAGCCCAGTGGCAACTTCGGTTCCCGTCTTGCCGGTGGTTCAGATGCTGCCAGTCCTCGTTACATTCACACGAGACTGTCCCCTTTCGCGAGAAAGATCTTCTCCACTCTCGACGAGCCTAACTTGGAGCCTCAGTATGAGGACGGCAAGAGAATTGAGCCCAGGTGTTATGCCCCGGTCATTCCCATGATTCTCTGCAACGGTGCTGATGGTATTGGTACTGGTTGGAGCACCTCAATTCCCAACTACCACCCTATGCACATCGTTGAGAACCTGAAGAGACGTATGGGCCGTCTTGACCCCGAAAACCCCGGGGGTGCGCCATTTGAGCCTATGATGCCTTGGTTCCGCGGTTGGAAGGGTACCCCCCAGGTTGCCGACAAGGACAGATACAAGTTCAACGGCATCTGCGACATTGACGAGAAGACTGGCGAGGTCGTCATCACCGAACTTCCTATTCGTATGTGGACGGACGATTTCAAGGCCAAGCTTGAAGAGGTCATCAGCGGCACCAAGGGCCCTGTCTGGATCAAGGACTACAAGGAGTTCAACGACCACAAGAACGTGCACTTTGTCATCCAGATGGATGACAAGCACACCAAGGATGTCATGTCCGACGGTCTCATGGAACGTTTCAAGCTCACCAAGCAGGTTGCCACCTCCAACCTGGTTGCCTTTGACACCAACGGCCAAATTCGCAAGTATGAGAAGGTCGAGGACATTCTTGAGGAGTTCTACCACTACCGTCTGGACATGTACGCCGAGCGCAAGAAGCACTGGCTCGGTGTCTATCATGCCGATTTCAGAAAGCTGTCTGAGCAGGCTCGTTTCATCAGGGAGATTATCGACGGAAAGCTCGTCATTGCCAAGAAGAAGAAGGCCGTCCTGGTTGAGGAGCTCGCTAAGCGCAAGTACGAGCCGTTCCCGAGGAACAAGGACAAGCAAGCCAAGAAGAAGAACACCGATGAGGAAATGGAGGGCGACGAGGAGGACGAGGAAGGAGCGGACGAGCAATCGAACGCCTACGACTACCTTCTTTCTGTTTGTTACCCCATCATCCGAGATTTCCTAAGCTTCGCAACTAATTGATTTTGTAGATGCCACTATGGTCTCTGACGCAAGAACGCCTCGATAGGCTGCAGAGGCAGATCGAGAGCAAGAAGGCCGAACACGACTCCCTTCTTGCCCTGAGCGAGAAGGATCTCTGGTGCCAAGATCTGGACGAGTTCGTTGCCGAGTGGGAGAACCAGATGGCCCTCGACGCTGAAATCCAAACCTCCATCCGCAGACTTGGTCGCCGCGTATCCAAGAAGATAGGTGCTGGCAAGGGTCGCAAGGCCAAGAAGGATGATGACGAGTATGAGCCTGGCGAGCGCAAGAGGGCTACTGCGAAGGTCAAGGCAGCCGCAGCTCCCAAGGTGACAGAGAAGGCTGCTGAAAGATTTGCTGCCATGTTTGAGAAGGCCAAGGCCAAGAAGGAGGACGAGGACGCGTTTTCTGACGACGATTTTGCCTCTCTCGGCAAGAAGACTTCTTCCAAGCCTGCCGCGCCTGAGAAACCACAAAGGGCGGCGACAACGAAGAAGAAGCCTATCTACACCTTGTCCGATTCGGACGATGACGAAGAATTCGCCAGCCTGGGCAAGCCCAGTGCATCTGCTCCGGCGGAATCTACCGAAGACGTTTCTTCGCAAAGTCAAAAGTCCGCGGCAGCCAAGAAGCCCTCGCCTCGGGTGGAAGAGTTAGACGATAGTGACGACGATTTTGCTGGTCTGGGCAAGAAGAGCTCCACAGAGAAGCCCGCTGCAGCTGTGGCAGTCAAACCAACTGCTTCTCGACGTGCTGCATCGACTAAGAAGTACGTTATCGACGACCTGTCTGACGAAGATGAGTTTGCTAGCGCTGCTGAGGACAGTGCTTCTATTGAGAAGAGCGCTTCTGTGGAGAAGAGCGTCTCCGTAGAGCCTGCACCCACCAAGTCTTCAAAGAATGCTGCTGCTTCACGGGGCTCAAGAGCCTCTGCCGTCAAGAAGAAGCCGTCTTACGTCATTGACGACTCCTCGGAAGAAGAAAGCGAGGCCGATGACAACCAAATTGGCGACATTGGTGCTTTGGTCCGAGGTATCGGCGGATCAGCGAAGGAATCTCAGACTGGCCGACTTAGCTTGTTCGCCATGAACCGGCCTGAGGGCCGCGACTCGACCATGCCCAGGATCAAGACTAAACCTTCGAGGACTTTCGATGACGAGGAGGTCGATGATACCAACTACGAGATGCTCGCCCGGTCGTCCCCCCATAAGACAATGACCAAGGAGGATGACATTGACAGCTTCTTGAGCGACGACGGTGCGCCTGCCGCGAAGGCGTCCAAGGCGTCCACATCCAAGGCCAAGCCCGCGCCAGCCGCTGCCGCGCCCGTCAAGAAGCGCGGCCGTCCTGCCGGAGCCAAAAACAGGCCCAAGGATGACGAGGCCCCAGCAAAGGCCAAGCCCAAGCCCAAGGCGGCAGCCAAGACGACGACGCTGTCTCCCGCGGCCAAGGCATACGCCGCAAAGAAGGCCAAGCGTGTGCTGTCCGATGATGAAGATGAGGATGTCGAGATGGAGGAGCCAGAGTCCCCGCCACGGCCAGCTGCTAGAAGCCGCCCTGGACGTGCGGCTGCCACCAAGGCCAAGGCGAAGCCCAAGTACGACTTTGATGATGACAGCGAGATGGACGTTGACGAGGCCAGCGAGGACCCGTTCGACATGGATGAGAGTGACTAGAAGTCCTCGTGAAGGTTGAGGGAGGTGTAGTAAACCGCATATGTATAACGTGTGTGTGTGCTCGTTGCGCGTGTGGATGTGTGTCTGTACACTTGGAAAAGGGAACGGCGAAAGGGGGTACGGGTACGGCGGGGTGGTCTTACGGAAGCAGTCATGCCGCTGCTTGCCGATTTGCTTTACTTTATGACCAGGTATTCCTCTTTCATGGTCTCTGGGAAACTCTCTTGCTTTTTTTTTATTATGTTGGCGGCATAGGCTAGGCCGTCTCTTGCTCCTTAGTATTATATTGTCTGCGAGAACGGGCAATATGGGATACCTATTCTTCAACGACCTGTGCAATCTTTGCTTGGTGACCCGCTCGGATGTTGATGACTATGATATTAGCCCGTCCCAGACGCAGTCCGAGAAGCTGTGAAACCTGGCCGCTTCAGCTCGAATGACAAGAAATGGCTTGTCGACGTTCCTCCAACTGCATAAGCCAGATCAGCGCCTCGTTCATCAATCACCATCGACACCCACGTAGTGCTCCCTGGACCGGCGCCAAGTTTCGACGCATCGAGTGCACATCTGCTAGTAGTCGACATTACCAAGCATGGCAGTATTGTAGTGCCAAATCTCATTGTGGTACATCTGGTATGCGCAGCCAAGATTCCTAGAAAGACACCCTTGAGCCGAACTCAGTCCACACTAGCATATCAAGGTCATTTTTACGAACACCACGTAGGAGTGATGGAAAAACACTACTTTTGTAGAAATAGTTCGTTTCGTTGCAGCCCTTGACAATCTGATGATCCCCCTTTCGCCAAAGCCGTGTGCCATGAAGAGAGAACTAAAAGCAAGACAATACACTACATGCGTACACAATCACTCGTTCGACGCCCTCGTCCCCACATCCACTGGAAGTCAATGCCTGATATCATCCTTTTGTTGCTCAGTGTGTGCAACCAACTCCTGCCAAAAGCAACCGCAAAGTCCTACCACGCCGAACATGTCGTAGAGAGAGGTGTGTGGTGCGTGGTCTCATTCATATTCGTCATGAGTCGTTCCGTTGCCGCCAGACCAGTGGCATACGACGTATATCCGCCAGCCTGTGTACACTCAGGAAAGCCAAGTCGAATGAGGAGGCATTTAGGAAGCGACCATGGGGGTCTCCTTCTCGGGAACGACAGGCTCGCTGTTCTCGAACTCGCTGCTGGGGGCAGCGGGGAAGTCCTTCTCTTCAACCGCGGGGGCAGCAGGAGCGGGCTTAGAGACGGCCTCGGGAGAGGCAGAGCGACGGCCAATCAGCTGCTGGGCCTTGGCAGTGTAGTCGCCCATGTACTGCTTGGTGATGTTGGCAGCCTCGGCAGTGTGCTTCTGGGCGACGCTGCGGAACTGGCTCGTCTGCTGGTTGATGACCTCGCCGGCCTTGTTCAACTGGGCATCAATGAGCTCCTGGTTGGAAGTGTAGATCAGCGGGATCATGAAGACGGAAGTGGTGCCGATGAGGCCAAGACCCCAGAGAGGGACAATCTTGACGAGGTAGTAGGCGAAGAAGGCACCGAGGAAGGCCTGCGCGAAGATTTGGCGTCAGTCCCGATGATGTCAATAATTGTGGAGAGGGTCACGCGAGCAACTTACAGCAACGGAGGCAGTGACATTCTCGGCGAACAAGATGCGCTGGGCCTCAATCACGAAAAAGTTGATGAGCTCGTGGACGTCTCCTATCATCGCATCGAGCGTGTCTCTCGGAATGACGTAGTAGCGGCGGGGACGGAGCTGGGTGGCCAAGCCATTGTTGAGGACAAGCTTGCCAGCGACCTCGGCGAGGACGGTGGTGCCAAGCACCATCCAGGTAAGCTTCAAGCTGTATCTCAGGATGTCGAGGTAGCGAGCGGCGAAGATGAGGGTGACGATGGAGGCGTAGGCGATGGCCGAAGCACCTGGAGATTAGCTATTAGTCGGGGTCGGGCTTCAGACGGAACACGGGCAATACATACGAGGGTTGTTCCACGAGATAAGCTCGAAGAAGAAAGAATGGTAGTGAGTCAAAGGCTGGCCGGTGGCGGCAGGGTTGGCAGGCGTTCTGCGAGAAGCGGCGAGGTTGCCGAACTCAGTAGAAGCCTTTGCAGACTGATCCTTAACATTCTGAGCGACGGGGCCTGGAAGGGAGAGCCATCGGGTCAGTACTCGAAAAATGCGCCGCAAATACGTCATGCGTGGCAGGAAGTAGAATACATACCGTTGGCGAGCTGATTGTAGGCAGCGGCGGCATCTGGAGGGTGCGGGTTAGCTTATCACTGTCGCCAGTCGTGAAGGTGAAGCTTGAAACACTAATCGCCAGGTTAGCCGGAGGTTCCTCAAAGCCATGGATGCCGGGATCGGGAGTCGCGGGTTCGGCGAGAGTGCAGGAGCGGCGCGGCGATAACGTACCTTACTGTCCTTGGTAGCCTGGACGTAAGAGTTGCCGTTGGCAGAGGGAGCCGTGGTCGGGGCGTCCGGGAAGTCGGCCATTGCGATGAGATCACGACGGGTTGCTTGTGATGTTCTGTGTGGTGTTGTAGGTTGGAAGAGTTGGGTTGAGTGGTCGTGTGATACCGGGATCTGCTTGAGAAAAAGCTACAGCACGAGCAGCGGGCGGTGTTTCAAAGAAATCGGAGCTTGGGTTTGGTTTGCGTGGTGAGTGACGACAGCTGTAAGGTCGGTGGGAGGTAGACAGCAGATAAAGGGCAGGAAGAGTTACAAGTCCAGGTGTTAGGTTGTTTGTGTTTGTGATGATCTGGAGGAAAATCCGGAAGCTCAGGCAGATAAACCAGAGAGGTGTGGGTAGGAGAAGTAAGGCAGGTAGGTAAGCAGGCAGAGGTGGAAGGGAAGGGAAGGGGAAAAAAGACTTTGTGTGTGTGGTGCGGCGCGCGCCTGGGTTGGCAGTGATGCAAATGAAGATCAAAAAGAAAGGAGCACGCAGAGCCCACAGGGCCGTCCGTGCCAACGCCAGGTCCAGCGGCCCAGCCCAGCAGCACCTAGCATTTTAGCACCCATATGGACGCGAGAGCATTCGTCCCTTCCCCTTCTGGCGGGACAGTGACGCTCCTACCTCCAAAACAGGGCCTGGCGGCCGGCGAAGAGGGCCCACGTAGCGGGCAGGAGCTTTCTGTCCTTTCTGATATGGAACACTGAAGTCTAGCTGTCTCTCTCTCTTTCTCTCTCTCTTCTGTCACCTGTTTTTCCTCTCGCCCCTCCGACTTTCCCGTTCTCCCTTCTTTCCCGTCACCAGCTGGCGGGCTACCTCGCTTGCTCAGGACACTCGTTCACCGATTACACACGACGGATGGGTACCTTGCCTGTCGCACGTATCGCAGCGTCTGCCTTTTCTGCCCGCAGCTAACCAACTGCTGCCGGCGCGCCTGCAATCCACCACAATCAGTACGCCGTAGCTCCACCAGCGCGACCTGCACCCGTGGATGGGTCCTGCGCCGAGAGAGAGGAAGAAGTAGAGGGGCCCTCCCTTGCTCGGTCGGAGTGTGGCTAGTGCCCGCGCCAGCTTGGTTTCCACACACTTGATGACGCAAAAAGTGTGCCACAGCAACCAATCGACCACTCCAACCAAGGCGACCCATTGACTACCTCCCATTGACAGCAGCTCGGCGCCCAATGACGATGTATTGCCGTCGTCGTCTCCTTCAATGCCGCACCGTGGCCCCATCTTTGGCGTCATCCCACCGTAGCTGCATCCTCCTTTGCGGCGCTAATCATGCAGGCGGCATGTGACGGTCATCGCGTCCCTCCCGTCAGTTGCGTCGTCTGCGAGCCCAGACCTTTTACAAGTATACTTCTCCAGCCTGTCCTGTCCTGTCTTCCTGCACTCAATAAGTAGTGCAGGAAGCAGCATGTTTGCGCGCGGCTGTGGACTGGGGCACGTACAAAACGTGTGTTCACCATCTCATCATCGCAGCAGCGGTGCTAGCCTGGGGTAGAACCAGAATAACCTGAAACCATGGCATTTCGATGTCTGATGTGCTGATGTCTGTAATGTATTTTCACTGTCCTGCTTCCCGCCATCCCGGTACCGGCGTCCGGGTCACTTTACATGTCCGCCAGTCACTTTAGAAACCACTGTGTTGTCCCTCCATTCATCCAAGCCAGATTTCGAATCGCGATAGTAATCATGGAGGAGCAGGCATGGTCCTAGCTCGCAGGCGTACCACGTAGCGTAGCGCATTGTGGCCCGCCCTTTTTTAGCCCCTCCTGCTCAGCAACCAAAACTCACGATATCACCCTCAATCGCTCATCTCTTCCGTTGCCCAGGTTATTGAGAGGAAACCCACATAAAAACTGCGACAGCTCCGTCCGTGAGCAAAAGCGAACAGCGGAGTGCCCAAATATGTCAGAATTTGACATGTCCCAGGTGCGCAAGAACCCGCAGTGGGACGGCCGCCAAAACCGCAAAAAGAAGAAAAACCGATTACCATCAGACGAACCATGTGAAGCCCCAACCGACCGCTCTTCCGCCCATTTCCAAAGTCGAAAAAGCCACAAAACCCACCAGATGAACAATCGTAAATGCAACTCCACACGTAGTGCTCAAACCAGCTCGGAATCAGGGCCACGCCGTCTGCCGTCCGGTGCGGATCGGGGTCCGGGGCTTTTCCCTTGTGCCCCTCCTCAGCGGTGCGGGAGCACGTGCCCCAAATCTTTCCTTCCATTTCACACGTGCGAAACGTCGCCCGGACTCAGATCCATGTGGAAGAAACGACGCGACGTTGAGAAGGCGCTCATACGGGCATGCTATGATTTGTCTTTCTTTGGCACGTCTGTCATTATGTTCCGCTGGCTGTGTTTCTCAGAGGCAGTCCAGCACGAGACTGGCTTGTGTCCAGATCGAATGGCTTCCCAAACCTGACGGTTGCGGACACCATATACAATAACGAACCAAACCATACCGATGTGATGGTCAATACCCACGCATCCAAGTACTCTGCCAAAGAAAATACCGGTGACTGCAAGAAGACTTTTCGTCTCGTTAGTCTAGAGCATACTTAGGATCTTCCTCGACATACAAATCAAGGCCTGCCTCCTCTTCCAGAAGGGCACGCTTCTGGCGCCCACAAAAGTGACTGAATATCTCCAATTCCATGACTTTAAAGCTGGAAGTCCTAATAGGCGGTGCACTGAAAACTGCAAAGTGCCTTACCTTGAGGAAGTTTCCATACTTGCGTACGTAGACAAGATTACAACGTTGGCCAACAACATACGCCCTTCTTTTACCACAGCAATCCATCGTCAAAACCAGCGTATCCCAGCCTCAAGTCCCAGTGGATCGAGCGCCACTCTTTCACATGCTTTTGCTGCTTCCCGTTTAGGAAAGGCCCGTTGATCAAGGTGAGCTCCCCACCTTTTCAGCACGGTGCACCGCCACAGGGGTCCAGAAACCCAAAAACTGCAATCCGTTGCAACTGTGACGCTGGAGGGGAATTCGCCCCACTCAAGATAGGGGGAAACCGTTGGCTGTTTCGACATCGTTCGATGACCGGACGAAGATGCGTTGGTTGACGACGGCGAAATCGATGTTGCATCTAGCTTCCCATCTTGACTGAAGAGGAAAAAGAAATGACGGGAAAGAAAAAAAGGGATAACCGAGCAGAGACGCAGCAATACATTGTTTTGACTTCATGTCATGATTCAATTCTTGTCAACTAAAGGTGCTACTGGTAAACTAGTACTGTCTGGATCAGGTGAATCTTTCTCCCGGTGCTCCGTCCGTCTGCCCCGACGGGTTGAGGAGGGGAAAAAAAAAAAAAAAAAACCCGGCAGCGGCATAAAACATCCCTAGTCATAAAGACGAAAATCCATTCGTCTGGGGAGTATGGTTCCTCAACTCCAATGCCATGTGTGAGAATGGAAGTGAAAAAAGGGCAACAGTCTAGAATGCAATGAAGAAAAATGCTCCCCCAACGCGGAGCGCATGCCAGCGTCCGCGGATGCAAAGTGTTGCCTTTCTATGCGATGAGCAGGACGACGGGGCCACGGGGCCTGGTACCCATTGTGAATGCCGCCCCCAACCAGAATGCAAAATGCTCTAGATGCTCCGAATGCTTCCGTTCCGTTCCATGAGGAACTTTAATTAGGCCATGAATCGATGGCGGTGCGTCTATCGTCTCCAGCCCCAGAATCCTCCTCCCGCCGCGGGCGCGGGAGTCGCTGCTGGCGTCGGCGCCGGACTGGCGGGTTTGACAGGTTCTGTTGATGCGCCCGTGAGTCGGCCAAATACACCCATAGCGGCTGATGCGGCTGCTCCCGCGGCCGTAGGTGCTTCTGCTGCAGGTGCCGCAGCGACGAGACCGTGCGCTTTGCGCAAGCTCTCCAGTTTCTGCTTCATCTCTTCGGCCTCTTGCCTGGCAATAGCTTCGGCAGTCTTGGCTTGTACGAGCTCCAAAAGCAGCGCCTCATGCTGGTCGTCTGTTGGCGGTGGAGGCGCCGGAACCGGATGCGTAACGGTCGGGACGGTTGAATCGTGCGCCTTGATCAATGATGAAGATCGCTTGCTGAAAATTGATCCCGCTTGGGATGGCGTCGACTTGCTCCTACCAAGTTTCAGCTCTCTCAAGCCGGTGCCGCTTGCAGAGCTCTTCCTAAGTGGCCCGTCGCTTTCGTGGTGACTATTACTCTCCGCCTCTGCAGCCGATGCCCGCGCTCTCATTGTGTGTATCTGCTTCTCGAGTCGTTGCTTGTCCTGATGCAGGATGCGCGTGTGTGAATGCGACTCCCGCACTTGGTCTTTCAATGCAGAAATCTCTTGGTCCAAATCGTGTATCTTCCGGTCGTAGTTCTGGGCCTGCGACACCGCGCTAGCCAGCTGGTCCTTGAGTTGCTGCAATTCCTGTTGCATGTGCGACTTTGACCCGCCACTTGCAGACTTCCTGCGTCCATCGCTAACATGGCGCCCAAATCTTTCTTCGACGACATCGAGCATCTTGGAAAGCTCCTCGGGTGAAGGCTGAACCTGTTCGGTAGCCTTGGCATTTTCTTGTGGCCCTGAGGCCACATCTCCCCCGCCTCCCTCGCGTGCCTCAGTTGCGGGGTCGGTGGCCTTGAGAGTATCGACGCTCGCGTCGGTACTGACAGAGTCGTTGCTGGCCTTTTTGCGCAAGCCGTCTAACAGCGACCGCACAACCTGCTTATCCTCCTCGCGCTGTTCCCGTTCCTGTTGTAATTCGCTTGCGAGCAGGGCGTGATTTCGTTGCGCTTCGGTCAAGGCGGCGAGGAGGTCTTCGATCTGAGTGTGCAGATAATGATCTTGCGTTTTCTTTGCGCCAGTGGCATTAATGGACTTTGCGATGCCATTGCCGACCGGTGTCGATTCGCGGATGGAGGCATTGTCGTCAGTGTTGGATGAGTCGCGGGAGATGGTGGTGGCTTCGGTAGATGCAGAACTGAGTACGCTGACGGAGCTGGCTTCCATCGAATTGAGAGTAGAAGCCAGACTCTGCTTCGATGTGCTCCTGCGTAACATGCTCAAAGGCCGTGACGGAGCGGTGAGGCCCGGGCTCAGGGTGGAGGAAGATTTCGGGGAGATGATGGTGGAGGAAGCCCAAATGCGGCCCAGGAATCGGGACGCTGCAGAGGTCACGTCCGAGGAACGCGCCGCATTTGCACTAGCGATCTGCGCGTCTCGGTACCCCTGCTCCAACTGTGCCAATTTCTCGCGAGTAACGATACCCGATAAACTGACAAAATCCTGGACAAACTCATCTGCGTTGTAATGGTAACAATCCCACAGACCTCTCGAAAGGAGAAGTTGCATAACGTCCTCAAGCTCGGTGCACGCTAAAATCCGGGCATGATTCTTCTGCATCAGGGATAGGGCGACCCGCATAAGGGTCTCCGGGGCCCCCTCGGCAAAGATGACATCGTAGATGCGAAACAGCATTGGCAGGGGACATGTAACGGCAAAAAAGCTGAGGAACCACTGTGAAACGTACGCCGGATCGACCTGAAGTTCTTCCAAATGGTTCGACACCGGCGTCAGATGCTCGCGCAGAAGCTCTCGAAACTGATAGATGCGCACATGCAGACCTGACAGGTCTGGCAGGAAACAGCTGCGCAGATCATAACGTTCCATCAATCTGCCCATCCCAATGTTAGCTTTGACGTCGCATTACCACAGAAACAAGGTTTCTTTTCGGTCGGGAGCTGCCCAGAAGTTGGGATCAACTTTTATTGGCACTTACCGAACCAATACACAGAACGCCTGCTTATCGGGCATGTGCATCAATAGCGGGCCGACCAGAAATGCCAGCCCTTGGCAGTAACCAATTTTTGTGTCGTAGAGACTGAAGCATTTCAGCACCCGGCCCAGCATACGCTGTCCGTCGCCTTCCGGGTCGCGAAACATGTCGACACCGGGGAAACTCCGACCCAGATCTTTGCCAATGGTGGCTTCGTAGGGGCTCGTTTCGCCCGAGAATCGCTCGTACTGCTCTTCCAGCGCGGTATCTCTCGCGCCCGACATGCTTTGCCACACGACGCCCCGCAATGGCGGAGGGACACCTTTCCGGATCTTGTTAGATAACAACGTGGGCAAACGGGCAGCAGTTTGCTGGTAGTCCTTGACCAATGCTGCGTAGAATTCGAGGTCGGTCATCGGTGGCGGCGGGAGCATCGAGTAACGCAGGGCTGGGGGCGTCGGCCCCGTTACCATGTGCCGCAGTTGGGCCATTGATGGCGGTCTGGGGCGATTGGAAGCGGTGACTTGCTCAGTAGGCTGTACTTTGATGCTCTTCGGGTTCGTAGCCAATTTGTCGTTCTCTTTCTCGAGCATAGCCAGTAACATGGCCGTTGACTGTGTGAACAGTCGTTAGTTGGCCAAATAAGATATGATTTGTGCGGCGTTCACTCACTCTGTCGGTGTCTGCGTCCCTAGGTTCTTCTGCCTCTGTTTTTTGCAACTCGTCCCAGTTCACTTCTTCCTCTTCTTCGTCGTCGGGTGGAAGAGGGCTGATCACCTCGTCGAGTATGCCTATGGGTGAGACTTTCGTAGGTGATACCCTAGACACCAGTTCGCCGACCTCGTCACCCTCCTCGTCCTCGTAGTCCACAAGCTCGTCTTGGAGGGTCTTTGCAGCGTTTGTCACTGGCAAAGGCGTCGTCGGGTCACTTGGTGGTGTGGTATCGCCATCGATCTCGCCCTCGCCTTCGGCTACATTTGTGGCCCCAACTGGCGCTGTGCTTTCGGGGAAAGGTAGCTTTTCGATGCGAACAGTACTAGGTCTCCTCCTCGGCGGCGAGCGGGGGCCAACGTTGGTGTCTATAGACAAGATAGGCGGTTCAGAGAGCCTGACGGTTACCATGGAATCGTGGGCCTCCATTTTGGGTGTCGTTTCCCGGGGGTCGATGTCGTCGGCGGCTGCGGGAGCGGGTCTCGATTCGGGTTTGGCATGCGTCAACTCGGTGTTGTTTTCGACTTCATCGCTTCGTTGCTGCAGCGCCGGCTCCATTGGCCAGGCCTACTATGCCTCGGCGGGTATACTTCTTAGTTATTTTGGTGTTTGGCCAGGAATCAGAGATGTCGACTGGAATGTGGACTCGCAAGCGAAGGGGCCCAGCAGTCAGTTGGTGGTCGGTAGGAGGGTCAACGAATGTACGGTCGCGGACCAGTGCCTGGCGCGGTCATAAAACGCAGACCAATCTCGCTGAACGAGACCGAGAATTCGAAGTTCGTGGAGTTGGAGTAGGGGTTTGTTGTGTTTGCCCGGCGGGAGTTCGGGAGTCGGGTCAGTCGAGTCCCTCTCGAATCGAGTGCCCAATGAATGTGCCGAGAAGGGAGCGCGAGCCTCAAAGCCAGGAGACAGAGACACACCAGACCACAAGCAATGCGGATCCCGGATTTGCACAAGGTTGGTGGCAGTAAGAATTGGGGCAGTAACACGACAGCCAGCAACGCAGCGGGTAGCTGACTGAGTGTGTGTGTGTGTGTGTGTGTGTTGTGCGTGACGAAGTGGTAGCAAGAGTGACCGACTGGCTCGGACGACTTGTGGACTTTTTTGGTGGCTGGCTCTCCCCCGAAATATCTCGTCCAACGGTTTCCTGGTAATAAAGAAAAGCAAGGGGGCCTTCTGTGGGCAATTAACGACAAGGTCAAGCAATGGAAAGGGAATACAGAATCCACAATCCACACTCACACACGCGCGCGGTCTCTCACAGAAGCTCTCCTGGGAAGGGAAGAGGAGGGAACCTAAGGCGACATCTGGCGGCTCAAGGTGACAGGAGGGAGAGAAAGGCAGTCTTGGGACAAGACAATGACTGGGACTGGGACTCGGGAGGAATGAGAAAAGAGGGTTTGGCTGGACGGCAGCAGAGGGGATTGGCCTGTCAGGCGCGACGGGTGATGTGAGTGCTGCTCTGGTTTTGTCGTTTCATCGAGGGGCCAAGGACGCTGAAACGCTGGGGGGGATGACTGGTGGTCCCAGTATGAAGGGTGAGTGGGCTGAATTTGCCGTAGTACAGGTGGTTCCAGCAGTTGCAACCTAGAATGAGTGTATGGGGCCGTTCTCCGTTGCCTCCAGGCACCTCCTTATTGCTGTGTACAGCACTTTTTTCCGCGTGCTCGGGGTGGAAGGCAAGGGCATCGGTTTGGACCTCAGGACCTGTCTCGCTCGTGACGTCCCGTCTGGCCTGCCTGGTTGGAGACTTGCAACACAGCATCCACACCGGTGGAAGGCCTAAGATAGGATGCCTAACTTCCTAGCGCAGGTAGACCGTATTATTCGTGGACGAGCCTTAAGGTAGGAACGCCAGCGAGGTAGTAGGTTGGTGAGTACTGCGATTTAGCCAAGACCACCGCGGTGGTGCGTTCCTCTTCCCGTCCCTGTTCTGGCCGCCGATCGGTGTGGTGGGCAAAAAATTAAAATCAAGAAGAATGCGGGATGTGCACAGGGGCCGGAGGGTGAGAAGAGGGGGGGGCGATGATCAGATGAGATGGGGTTGCTCTGGCACTGGGGATTTGCGATTCTCGACTGGTCTGGAATGAATTTGTAGAACTAAGCGGTCAAGGTCTGCCAAGTATGGTTGCTCTTCAGAGACACGTCCAAGTCGACGGCCCCTTATGTCATTCCAGCGTGATTCTTCCTCCCCGGCTTCAGTGTTTGTGATGGCGATGGGAGAGGAGACGCCGAAAGCAGCAGGTGATGCCATCTATGTACGCATTTCTACGCATTATGTCCAACCATTCATTACTTCCATGGCTGACTACTGCGTCAATTAATATGATGGGATACCCAGGACGGAGCAGAGGATGACAACATTTCATGGGCCCAAAGGAGGGGGATGGGGGCTTCAATTTCCCAGGGGCAAACAGCGGCCAAAATAGAACACGCCCATTCGTCACTGGGCCGTGTGTGATATTGACCTCCCAAGTTCTTACTGAGTGCCTACCGCCAGAAATCCCCTGCAATTCAATTGCTTCTTCCAGGTTGCCGGCAACTTTGCTTGCACCTGACGCGTCCGCGTCGACATCCCCTATTTCTGGCATCAACCAACGGCGTTGCCACTGTTTATCTTTAACCACACTTGTATCCAATGACCGATGGACGATCCGCCCGCCCCGGCTGGATTCGATGACCGCGCCGCTTTCACCTCACCCACCCACCCACCTGCACTGCTCCTGCACCTGCACCTCCTGCACCATCCACCGGCACCGCAGAAGATGGGGGCAGCGGGAAAAGCTTGGGATGAGCAAGCTACTTTCTGCAAGGCACAGCACCGCTAGTGCGCCAACGACACCCGCGAAACCCCCCAATGTGCCAATCACGTCGCCGTCTAGCCCTGCACCGAACAAGCTTCCACATCTGCACGACCCCGTAGCCGCCGCCAACCAGCGGTCCAGCTCAACGACCGGACGCCAAAATCCCCCCCCCACCGGGCGCTGTGTTGAAATTGCTTGCCTCGTAGTGTCTCCATATCCACCAGTCAATGTCAATTGTGTGCATGTTTTTTTTTTCCCCTCTTGTGCAAAATCTCCCAGAGCTCGCTTCCTGCTCCTTGCCATTTGCCGGGTATTACCGAGCACCCAGCCTGGGGTCAAGCAAACGGCAAAAACTCCACAACTGAGCCGCCCAACGGCGGGGACGCACGTGAGGATCGGGCTGACGGCCTGGTAACAAGACATCAGCCGTCTCAGATCTGTTGTGCAGATCTTGGTTCACCATCATTCATCCTCCCCCCCAAAATCGCTTGCAGTACCTTCCTATCGGACAAGCCCAAACTCTCCTAACGCCAGCTGTAATAAAGATAGACAGGGGGCGGCGTCGTGCTCACGGCCCACCAGGCTTTAAACACACAGACGTTTTCCCTTCTGTCCGGGTCGGGTAGTCGAGGACGCGAGTCCAACCACATATCGCCTCCCGGGAGATGAGACTTCTCTGCTGCTTGCTGTTTCTCACCACAGGTACGCCTTCGTAATCCGAGCCTCTTTCAGGCCCCTTCCAGAGCATGTTCAGCTCTGTCCTGAAGCTTCCGTCATCAATATGGGCATTCAGTATCTACGTACCTAGATGGAAGTGCACCCTACATGCAGGCAGGTTGTGGCATGCATATCAGAACCAAGCTTCCATCCTACCTTACCTTCCCCACGTCTTGGTCCGATCTTCTGGTTGTCGCCATGCATACACGGCACGGTCGTAGCTGAAGCCGTCCGGGTGTCGGCTTCTCCCGGCTCGGACACTGACAGCCAGGCAGACTAGCATAGGAAACGCCTTCGCTCCCAAGCTCCTCCCTGACCTTTGTCTCCAGTTTCAATACTAACAAGTTGGTTGCCAACGAAACAACTGATTAGACACAGTCACACCACAAGCACACACAAGTAATGCACCAAAGTGCTGCGTTTACCCCAACTAGAATTCAATTCTCCAAGGTATATAACAAAACACAGCACACCACACCCACTACAACACCATCAATGTTTCCAATTCTATACAACCGTGTTCAGTAGGGCTATAAGGAGTCCGCCACACACTGCCTCCAGTCACAGTTGTTTACCCCTTCATCCGTAGAGATGGAGCCAAAACCCCGGGTGCCATTCGTTGCACATCCCGGTGGTTATCATTTGTTTTGTGCTTTTTGGGGGCGTCCTGGACCCCTTCTTTGTGTAATTGGTGCAATGCCATTACCAGAAGAGCGTTGCCCCTGTTGCTTTGTTGATCCGGTTGCACAGCGCTTTTGTCTTCGCACCCCACTCGCCGTGGCAAGAGGTTTCACAGATGCGTATCCACGGTGACCTTGGTCCGGTTCAACTCCAACGTGTGCACACGGCTTAGAAGAAATCGGGTAAGCTTGGTATGTAGTGCCAGTCTGGTTGCAGTCCGGCAGTATCCCTACTCTCTGGAATGACCTGCATAGGATATGGGCCTTGCATCGTTGTTTGAGGTGCAGTATCGTCCCCAGCTCTTGTGTAGCGTGCAATGTGCTGTTGCTGGTCCCAGGTTTGTGGCCACAAAGAGGGGGTATCTGTTGCTTGGATTTCGAATCCACTGAACCATTTCTGAATGACCCAGTTGGCGCCCTTGGCATTGTCGGCAGTCTTCACGTCATGAGCAGGAGACGGCGTTCGCCCCACAAGACCACCCGGCTCCTGTGGTTCTGGAATATATACATAGTCCTGTATCGGGTTTTGGCCCGGCGCATCGTACGGAGAAAGGCTACCAAGACAGTCCTGCTAGGCCGGGACCATTACGCCAAGTAGATGCGCATCAGCACCTTGCGCGTCGTTCAAAGGGTCCATATGACTTCCAACAAGGAATTGACCCTCCTAGGATGGCACCATCCCATGGGGTTGATGTGACCCGGGCATATTCTGCATTTGCATCGGACGCTGAGCCTGGGCCATACCGGGGCTAGCTTGATGGCTCGGTGGTCGCTGACCTTGTGCTATGCCTTGTTGGCCAGGGTGCTGGCCTTGCGGGCGGGCCGGCGTCTGGAATGCCGGCTCCTTCTTTGGGTCAACGTTGGGAAAGAGGGCTTGCAGCTTGTTGTAAAGCTCGGTGAGGTAGCTAGACCTTTCTTGGCGGTCCGTAGTCGGGTCCGGATTGTTTTCCGCCACGTCCCCAGGCGGAGTTTGTAGACGGACTTTCAGCGTCATGTTCAACGGCGGGGAGGAAAGGTAAGCCGGCGACGGCGGTACTTGGACATTGCCTTTCCTATCTGCCAAAGCAGCCAAATATGCCAGGTTCGCTTGAAGTCGTCGCATACAACTAAACACGACGTCAGCTTTGGAAACCATTGAAGGATCCTGTCGCTTTGAAACTTACTGGCTGTAGTCCTGTTGGACTGCGGTTTCCTCTTGCGAGGGCTTCCTCGCTGGGTCACCCTCTCCTGTTGGCGCAGCTTCCTTCTTCAACTCGGTCAAAGTGTGTTGTAGTTGCATTGACTCGTACAGCAGTTCTTGGTTGATCTCAAGCAGCAGTGAAAATCGTTCCTGTTCCCGTGATTCGCTGCCAGGGCTCAAGGGCGTAGACACCGTGGAGGTGCCATTGACCGTCGCATTCTGGTTGTGTGGGGGAAAGGTCGGGGTTTGGGGGGTGGTAACAGAGGCCGCGAGCTGCTGCTGCTGAGGTGCTGTCGTTGCCGGCGGCTGGCCGTGCGACGGGGCCTGTGGAGTTGGGAATTGAGATTGCTGCTGCTGTTTTTGCTGTTGGTGTTGGGCGTGTTGCTGTTGCTGCTGCTGCTGTTGGTGTTGTTGTTGTTGTTGTTGTTGCTGTTGCGCCTGTTGCTGTTGCTGCTGACCAGGTTGTTGTTGCTGCTGAGGCGGCTGATGAGGTGGTTGCTGGGGTTGTTGAGGTTGGCCTTGCTGTGGATGTTGCTGCTGGGGCTGGCCCTGCTGCTGCTGTTGGGGATGTTGCGGGTGCTGTTGCTGGGCGTGCTGTTGATGGTGTTGCTGCTGCTGTTGCTGATGCTGCTGATGCTGCATAGCACTGTTTGGTGACCCGTGACCCCCTTGCGCCGCGCTCATCGGTCTTTGCGGTGTCGATCCCAACGGCATCCCACCAGCGTTTGCCTGCCCTTGTTGTTGCTGTTGCTGTTGCGCTTGCTGTTGCGCCTGCATACGCTGCTGCTGTTGCTGCATCATGATCTGCTGCTGCTGCTGAGGCGTCATGGCCGCGTTCATCGGGAAGCCCTGCATTCCCCCAAAGTTGGGATGTTGGCCGCCCGGCGCGGGCATGTTACCGCCGTAGGGATTGCCCTGATACGGGTTTTGGAAGGCCACTGGCAAAGACATTGAGGTTAGCGAACGCGTGTTTCCGTGTTCAGATGATCAAGAGGCACTGCGACTGCGCGTTGACGACGTGTTCTTCCGATGCTGCGGGTGCTGGTGGTGATGGTGATGGTGATGCCGATGGGGTCCAGCCTGAACAGCCTTGCCGATGACATCTCGCCACGACGGCCGACACGGACCCCGTGAGGAGGCACATGCGGCTTCAGGCAGCGTCATCAGGCGCAACGCATATACGAAAGTCTGCTGGGCAGGTTGGGCGTACAGAGGGAGAGACAGGACAAGGAAGGGGAGAGCTTACTCTGACCATTGGCGGCCATGTGCGGCATGCCGGCGTTCTGCATCATGCCTGCAGGACCAGCGCCAGACATCATCGCAGGATTGGGACCTCCGACAAAGCCTGGCTGGCCACCAGACATGCCAGCGAATTGGTTGGGGTTGTACATCATCTGCTGGCCTGGCTGAGTAGGGCCAGAGCCTTGCTGCATATGAGGGTTCTGATTTGGAGGTGGGGCGGCGTTGTTGAAGGTCGGAGGGACATTGGAGACCTGAAAGCCGTAGCCGGGAGCGTACATGGCTGGGACGGGATGATGGGATGGGCGCGGAGCTATTATTATTATTATGGTTTGGGGGGGGAGGGTATGGGGCTTGACGCGACGTGCCTGCCCAGGGGAACAGTTCGGGCTAGGGTGCTGCGACAAGCGTTGAGGTAGCAATAAACTTAGACTCCAGGCTCTGTCTGGTCTGGCAAGTCAGACACGAGCTGGTTTCCTGGCCGGCTGACTGGCTGATGGATTGACTGGCTGGTCGGGGGCTGGGCTAAGCTGGGCGGAAGAAGTGAGGGAGGACGCGGCACGGTTGGCGGCGGCCGCAGCGGGCGACGTTTCGAGGTGTCGACCGCAACAAGGAAGAGAGCGGCGCGGCGGGAGGAGTGCGTGGAGCGAGGAGAAGAGGTCCTGGCCTGTCCGGGCCGCGGGTCGACCTGGCTGGTCGGTTGACTGGCTGGTTTGCTGCTGCTCGACGTGTGTGATGAGCGGTGGAGAGCAGGGGTGCCACCGGTGCATCAACGGTTAAGCTTGGGCGATCTCTCAGATAGACAAAGTGACAGGCCGACAACCAGCAGCTTGGCCCAGTAAGAGAGCGATTCGACAAGCCGGCAACAAGTATTGCGTTTTAAGGTACAACCATGCAAACGACACGGATCCAGCTGTCCCTTCAATGCTCTCGGGGGTGCCTGGCTGGATGGTATGGCGCGTGGGCGTGCCTGGGATAGGGCTGGCGCTGTTTGTCTCGGCTTCTCTGCCGTAGGTACTCCTGTCTGTAGAAACTCTTGCGACTTCAAGGTGCGCAAAGAACGACAGAAAGGTGCACGGGGGTGTGAGATGGCAAACTGGGGAAGAAGAGGGCTGAGAGATGGGTACGGTGAGTAGGGATGGGGTGCCAGGAGACGGTAGTGACGTGGATGGATGGACGGGGCGCCAGATGGAATAGTTGCTGGTGAGAGATGAGGCGCAACGAGAAATAGAGATTGCCGATAATGGTTTGCGCTCTGTGTAATGGAACCGCGTCCGATGGATGGCCCGGCACGCGAACCCAGTAAGACACGACTAGAACAGGCAGTCGAGAACGGACAGTTTCTGGGTTGGGCGGGTTGATGCTTGATTCAGTGCCAATGCCGAGCTTGATCAGGCCGGGCAGTCAAGGTACCAAGGGGGAAAGTACCCTCGACGGGATGCGAGAAGGAGTGACGAGGGAATCAAAGGCAGATCCGTCGTCTTGGTGCAGGTGACGGCGCGCGTGGAGCAGCAAGCGGAGAATAGGTAAGGTAAGGTAGAATGGCGGACAACCGTGGAGGAGGTGCGGTGAGCAATGGCTTCGGTGGCGGCGTCGATGAGGTGCGGTGTGGTCGCGGGCCGGACGTCCCTGATTGCCCTGCTGCAGAAACGACCTAAGCGTCAACGTATGGGATAGGTATGTGAGACAAGGCAGCGCGTGTGTGATGGGTGTGTGGTTGATTGATTGACTGCGCGCGCAAGAGGCAGACCGGTAGCAGAGAAGAGGTGTGTGTGGTATGTGTGTGTGTGTCCATCAGGCATTCGCGGCAGGAAAAGAACGCAGAAACGAAATTTTTTTTGGCTTTGGTTTTCTTCCACCCCTGTGAGTCGTCTGGGAAGGGGCCACAGGTCTGAGAGTGTGGACACTTGGCCGGCTGGGGCAGGATTCGAAGTGGGGCTGCGTCCGAGGCTAAACAAGGGGAGGCACCGGCAGTGGAGGCTAACCTGGACAGCCGAGGCGTCGCTGACTGGTCTGAAGACATCCGCACCCAACCAGGGGGGTGCCTGCAGCCATCCAGGGTCAGGTACGCAGTACACCTGTCACCACGCAGAGAGCGGTCTTGGAGGGCACTTCATTAAACATCATTCTCACAGCTGAATGATCATTTGTACGTATACAATAAGCATTGATCCAGGGTTCTTCTGGTTGAGCACCAAGACCTTCATCAGCAGAAGTCGACTGGACCTGCCCGTGTGTCTCCAGCTACTAACTCCTAAGCCGCATATGTCGTACCGTATGTCGAGTTCCCGAAGACAACATCAACGAAATGCTGGGCTATAATCTCGTCTGCAACAAACCACCCACGTCAGCCGAGAGACGAGAACCAAGACCAACATGAACAAATGCTTACCTGCACGCTCCGAAGGGTGCAGCTCGTCGTACCACAAGAACCCCGCCATTGGTTCCGAAGAGTCGACGCACTCGCGCGTAACCGGATCGCAGACCCTGTATGTGCCCGTCACGTTCGCCGGCGGAGGCAGGTACTTGGATGGTTCCGCGTGGATGTCTCGCAGCATACTGTGGACGTCGAAGATGGAAAAGCTCGCTCCGGGCCACCTCTTCTTGACAAGCAGGTGAAATGGCGCCCCGTAGTCAAACATGGTGTTGACATTCGTGGTGTACTCGAGCATTTTGTACTGGTATTCCGTCGTGTTGTAAAGCGTCTTGTTCGGCCAGAACTGGCTGTCTCCAAAACCTCCACCTTCCACTGCTGCGTACAAAGGAGACTCCTCCAGAGGTGCCAGGTTCAGGAGGACGAAGTGACGGCCTTCCGTCTCGTAAATGTTGTCAAACACCTCCCAAATGCAATCCACATACGTGGAAATGGTCGTTCCAGGTGCCTGCGAGTCCGTCAGGAAGGCACCATAACCCAGGTCGTTCGTTCCGATCCACAACGCGTAGACCGTGTTGTTCGCCTGCCTGTTGGGGTACAGAGATTCGAATGCGATGTCAGCCTTGTAAGCCGGTATCTCGTAGTCCATCACTGAGGGAAACGGCTGGTTGATGGTAGCGAATTCTCGTGAGATGATCTCGTTAGAACAGGTAGCTCCAGCCACGGCATAGTTGTTGTAGTTCGCGTTTGTGGCCTTGGCGACGAAACGACCCCAGGCATATCCGCCGCTCGCTGTCGAGTTGGATTCCCCAAGTCGAAGTCCCGGGGGCGGAGCGCTGCCGTTGTTCCTAGCGAAGTAGCTTAGGCGCATCTCGTCAGTGTAGCTGTCGCCAAATGTTACCAAGTTCTCCAGCTTCTTCAGTCCGCACTGCGAGGCCGCGGCCGCCGCTGCTGCAGAGACGAGAGCTGCGATTGAGAAAAACTGCATGGTCGCTGTCGATTGGATGGTACCAAACACGAGGCGACTTGAAGGGCCGCTGTGATTACCACGAAATGGTGGGAAGCTCGGAGATGAGGCAACGGCTACATCTCCACGTTTGCAGATGGGCACCGTCTTCATATACGATTCCCGACAATCCTGTTCGACTGCGTCATGGCAATCAACTGGGCCGTTAATCCGGCAGAACGGAAATGGGGTGCAGACCGATGGAGAGACGGGCAGAGAAGCGCCGCCTATGAAATGGGTTAGATCATGTCTGGGACCATGTAATCCACGCCTGTCTCCGCGTGCTAGGATCCAACGACGAACGATAGCTGCAGCTTTTTGTCAAAAAGATGATGGCTCCTGTAAGTTCCCCAGATCTGACCAGGGTCATAATGGGAATAAGTGAGGGGTAATTGGAGTCTTGGATGCGCTCGCAAGCAATCTGCCCGAGAGCTCCATGGACGTCACATCAAGAAGCACTAGCTTGTCATGGATGGGGAGGTCGGCAGAGGCTTCGATTCGCGCCGGTGAGAGTGGAGGGGAAAATATGACTGGGACGTCGGAATGGCGAGGACCAACAGACTGCGCAACCGACTTGGCGTGGTTGGTCTGCTGTTATCGAGAAGCTTGTCCAGACCGTTGTCCACGACCTGCAGTCGGTTGATGAGAAAGATGGCTAATCAGCCTAAATTCGCCATGATCCGCAGCCCTAGGCCAGCGGGGAGAGCCGGCCTTTAAGCAGGCCGTCAGCCGTCTCAAACTTGAAGCTGGATATCGCAAAATTTGTTGCGCTAGAACGATGGAGGCCTTCCCAGAAGATATGTTCAACAGGTGGGAGGCGTAGACGTAATAACAGGCGAGACACAACTCGGAGGAAGAACGTATCGCAGGCAGTCGACACCGGCTCCAAACGTGACCTCGCAGCTTCTCTTTGGCCAAGGTCAAAGTAAGATCGAATTTGTGGTTGAGCTAAAAGGATATACGTGGTGCAAGGCTTTTTTCACGCCTTACATTTCACCGGCTTTCGAAGATTCCAAGCTGATGTTGTTCTCAATGCAACTATAATCCAGTTGATTAAAGTCTGTCTTAGCAATCAAGTCCATCCCATCTCGGCTTCGGCTTGGGATAAGGTAAGGTCGGTCACGTCCAGTATGGCGGAATCGGCTTCGGCTTCTTTTCCGCGGTGACAAACCGTTGACCCGCCCACCCCACTTCAGAACGAATTCTCGATTGGGCAATCGTCTCTCCCAATGAACGTTGCTCTCTTTTTTTGGTGCGGGGCGGGGACATCGGATGCAATCATCGTGATTGGTCAATCCATGACCGCGGGGCAGACAGCGTCGCCCAAGTGCCGTGCCGATGCTCGGGGAGAGGATCCAGTTCTTGAATTTGTGATCCGTTGACTCAGCTAGGGTCTTGATACAACTTCGAAGCTGGGAATCTCAGTTTGGACTTTGGATATAAGACGGCCGAATACATCGTGATAGCAGTTGAGCAGATCAGCAATCTCAACTCGTATCTTCACCATGTCGCCCTTCAACTTGGAAAAATGCGCCCGCCCAAACGTTTTGGCTCTCGAGCCTTATCGATGCGCCAGAGAGTAAGTCTTGCTCTCCAAACTCACCCTACACTTGCATGAGATTTGACCGGAAAACTGACACCCCTGACAGCGACTACAAGGATGACGGAACGAACGTCCTTCTCGACGCCAATGAGAATGCCTATGGCCCGTCGCTAGAGTCAAACTTTGAAGCGGGAAATCTGGGCATCGACTTCCTGGGCCTGAACAGGTATCCTGACCCTCACCAGCCCGAACTGAAGCAGCTGCTCTGCAGCCTACGCAACACCCACACCCACACAACCAAGAACCTCGGATCCGAGAATGTCTTCGTTGGCGTCGGCAGTGACGAGGCCATCGACGCTTTGCTGAGATGCTTCTGCGCCCCCGGCAAGGACCGTATCCTTACCTGCCCGCCTACCTACGGAATGTACTCCGTCTCGGCCCAGATCAACGACGTGAGCATCGTCAAGGTGCCCCTGAAGCCCGCTCCCGAGTTTGCCATGGACACGGACGCCATCCTCGACACTCTCAGCAAGGAGGACAACATCAAGCTGGTCTATCTCTGCACACCCGGCAACCCCACCGGCTCCGTGTTGTCCAAGGATGATATCAGGAGGGTGATGGAGCACCCGACGTGGAACGGTGTCGTCGTTCTTGACGAGGCATACATTGACTTCGCGCCCGAAGGCAGCTCCCTCGCCGAGTGGGTACTCGAGTGGCCCAACCTCGTTGTCATGCAGACCCTTTCCAAGGCCTTTGGCATGGCTGGCATCCGTCTCGGCGCCGCCTTCACGTCACCGCCGATTGCCCGCCTCCTGAACGCGATGAAGGCGCCGTACAACATCTCCAGCCCCACGAGCGCCCTCGCATGCTACGCCGTCTCCGAGAAGGGTCTGGCGGTCATGCGCGACAACCGGACCAAAATCCTGACGCAGCGAGATCGCATCATCGCTGGGCTTCCCAAGATCCCAGGTGTCGGAAGGCTGAGGGGCGGTACAGAGAGTAACTTTTTGCTCTATGAGATGCTCAACGCCGAGGGTAAGCCGGACAACGTCACGGCGCTGGCGGTATACGAGCGCTTGGCCGAGAATAAGGGCGTCGTCGTCCGGTTCCGCGGCAAAGAGCATGGATGCTTGGGTTGTCTACGCATCACGGTCGGCACAGAGGATGAGGTCACGAGGTTCCTGTCTTCCATCGAGAAGACGCTGGCCGAGGTTCGTGGTGCTGGACGTCAGGCGGACGAGGAGAGGAAAGAAGTGGCGGCGAACGGGGTAGTTGCTTAAGCAACTTTTGGACGAAAATGCATATACAGATAGATGATAGACAATCCAGTAAATCACGAAGCCTGCAGCCATGGAATATTGAACCACGACGAAGCATCTGCGAAACGTATCTTTACAGCAGAAACGACGATGAAGTCAACGACCAGAGCGAAGGGGGGAAACTGTTCAGGCTCAACGCAGGTTGACAACAGCCAAGAGAGCATCCCATCAACGGCTCTTCATCTTCATCTCCATCTCGCTAGACAAGCTAACAAAGACTGAAAAAGAGAAATCCAACCTGGAGGCAGTGTAATCCCAGGTCAAATCCAAGGTTCCAAAAATTGCGCGGCCTTCACAGGCCATGATTTTAGTTTACTTTGTTTTGTTTTGTTTGGCTTAGTTTGTTTTGGCTTGGTTTAATTCGTTTTTGGTTGGTTTGGTTTTACTTGGGGGCTTCTCTTCATGAGTTTTTCCTCCTTTTTTTCTCTCGGGGGTTTTTTTCTTCTTAACTTGTTTCTTCTCGTTCTTATTTGCTGCAATTCCTTCTGCTTAGCATTTTCTCGTGTTTCTTTTTCTGCCCGTGTTTGAGGATGAGGGAGGAAGTGGGTTTCAAAGCCTTGGGAGGATGGGTGAGCCTTTTGAAGAATTTCAGAACCTGCCGGGTCCGCATCCGGTGTGCCATCAAGTTCATGAGCATCAAGGGAACCAGCCAGTCAACTTTAGTGAACCAAGTCAGCCAGGTGCTCGGGATCCAGTAGGGCGGTAGCGGACCATGCATGTCGTCGCGGGAACGAACCAGCAGGGTGTCTCGGAATACACGGCCAGGAAGTCAGTTGCGGGTTTCCGTTAATACCTAGACATCTATCGATTCACAGGAGCAGCGAGACGGCGCCAGTGGGCCACCCGAAATCGCACCTCCATACCTAACAGCGGACAGAATTTGGACCCAAAGCGGGCGGCCGGTGGGATCGAGCCCGTGTTGGTTCGTCACCGTCCCCGAAAGCGGTCCCTTTTTTTTTATGATACTTGGTCGCCTTATGGCTACCCTACCGCAGTTTTGTGCCAGACCCAGAGTATTAACTCGGATTGAGGTTGCATAGGTGCAAAGCCTCTCCCAATTAGAGGCGGCTAAAATTGGTGCGCCGCTGTTTCAAATGTCGAGTCCAAAGTAACGGTAACCCGAGCTAGTGGCTCTCAAGTAGATCAACGCTAAACAAGCATCCAATCAGTGGGCCAGAGTCACTCACTGGCACCTGGACAAGCTTGTCGGACGAGCCGATCTCCCATGAGCTCCCATGGGGGTGCTGGACAGTCAGGGGGCCTGCACCAGTCGTTTCTCTCCAGCGCATGTATGGATTCTCCATTCAGCGCCGAGTTCATCGCAACTGCTGACTCTGCGTCTCCTTTCGGCGGCTCCAGGCTGGAGCTCTGCCGCCGCCGTGCCTCTTTCAGCCATCAAACTTGCGTGTGCATGACTAGCGCTCCTCTTCCGCTGGTCAGCAACGAATGTTTTTCAAACGTGGTGGCCCTGTTCTCGCCAGCTTGCTTCCCTGCTCAATACGTGCTTGTGGATGGGAAAGAGCAAGCTCGACCAAGCAAGGGCAATGTGAGGTGTGCCTGGGTCTCAAAGGAATCAAAGAAAGTGGAAGGAAAGCGTCGACATGGGACCGTGGGTTGGCAACTTTGGTAGAGAGAAGGGACGGAGGGACTCGACAACAAGCCCCTGCACCTTTCCTTGTCTTCTGCAATGCCAATGAAATGCCAATGCGGGGAGCGTAAGTGCCTTGCTTCCCCCACAACCCTCCAAGCCCCTGAGGTGGTCCGGTTCTTGACGTTTTCGCCTTAAGACGGCCGGGCCGCCGGTTCATGAGCGCCTTCCCGCCCCTCATCCCTGGTTCCTGCTCCTTACCACGCTCTTTCCGCGACTTTCTGTGTTCCTGACGTGCCCGTGTGTGTTCATCGGTGCTGGAAACTACATACCTTCCCAGCTTGGTTGTGGATCTGCCATCGCCATTGCCTCCGGTAACTGGTTGCCCGCTTATACGCACCACAGGACAGTCGTTCATTCCTTGCGCAACAGCAGCTTCGTTGATCTGACGCTGCTTCCTACCTTCTCTTGCTCGTTTCGGTGTCTTCCCCTGCCTTCCAAGTCCGAAAGAGGCAGCTAACACTCTCGTTTGTGGAAGTCACCAGACTCCTTCTTTCCGTTGCCATAAGCGCTCCCCTCAAGGCCTTGGGGTATATCTACCCAACCTCACCTCCAGACATCCATCTTCCTCCAACATCTCCCATCCAACATCCATCCGACTGGCACACGCTCTCTTTTGCTTTGCGATAGCTTGGCTTTCCATCTTTACCCATCTCTAAGCGTCGTCCGTCCTCTTCAAATCATCGAGACTGGCTTGCCCCGTCTACGACATCCTCACGTCAACGGCCAGGTCCCCGGCTTGACATCAGGACGGCATCTATTCTGGAACCGACTTTCATCTGTTGATCTTCCAAGTCTCTCCACCACAAGTCGGCGGCATGGTCTTCTTCAAGTCAGCCCTCGTTGCGTCTGCAGCAGCTGGTGCTTTGGCGGTGCCTTACACGCAGCCCAACACACTCGACCTCAACAACACAAGTCAGCGATACCCGCCTACCACCACCCTTCAAACAACTTTGCTGACCGGCCTCCCAGATTCCATCAAGGCCGTTGCCGGCAGCCTTGCTCATGGCGCAATGTCCTACTACAATGGCAACGTCTCATCAGACGCCAAGGTACGTCGACATCCACCACCTGTCCTCTGCCCCGAGGTCCTCACTGACACATGTATTTCCAGATGGTCGGTGACCTGCCAGAACCCTATTACTGGTGGCAGGCCGGTGCCCTCTGGGGAGCCATGCTGGACTACTACCACTACACTGGTGACCCAAGCTACAACGAAGTTATCGCCCAGGCCCTCACTGCCAAGGTCAACACAGGACCCAACTTCGACTTCATGCCCCCAGAACACGCTTCGGAGGAGGGCAATGATGATCTGGGCTTCTGGGGCTTTGCTGTCATGGCCGCTGCTGAACGCAACTTCACTCAGCCAAATCCAGACGCCCCGTCCTGGCTCCAGATGGGCATCAACATCTTTGATTCTTTGGCATCTCGCTGGAACACAACTCACTGTGGCGGCGGTCTATTGTGGCAGATTTACGAGAGCAACCCCAACGGCCTGAACTACAAGAACTCAGTCAGCAACGGCGGCTTCTTCCAGCTCGCTGCACGACTGGGTCGCGCCACTGGCGAACAGAGGTATTTTGACTGGGCCAACAAGGTCTGGGACTGGTCAGAGAAGGTCGGCTTCATCGACGCTGACCTGAAGGTCTATGATGGCGCCGACTCTCGCGACGAATGCACCAAGGTCAACCCTCTCTCCTTCACGTACTCCACGGGCATCTACCTGTATGGTGCGGCCGTCATGGCCAACGCCACTGGACAATCTGTCTGGCACGATCGCGCGGTCAAGATGTTGGACACCTCCAAGCACTTCTTTGGCCCCTTTGAGAACAGCACAAACATCATGTACGAACCTGCGTGCGAGACTGTCGGCACATGCAACACGGATATGAAGACATTCAAGGGATATCTCTCCCGCTTCATGTACAAGTCGGCCCAAGACTTGCCTGAGCTCAAGCCCGAGGTTCTCAAACTGATGACCCCCACGACCCAGGCTGCTGCCAATGCCTGCACCGCAAATGACACTGGCGTCGTCTGTGGCCAAAAGTGGTACGTTGGCGGCAATGATCAGTCCGTAGGTCTCGGACAGATGATGAGCGCTCTCGAAGCTGTACAGGGCTACGCCGGCGATTCCGCCAACGACATTGATTCCAACAAAATCGAGCAGGCTATCTTAACCTAGTTGGTTTTGAACGACAAACTGCATGCTTCTGCCAAGGGGTCACTGAGCGCCAATGGCAACTTCGACCTTTTGCAGGAGAACATTACTTCGGGCAAACTCAACATCGATTCTCGTGGAAGCCAACCCGGGGCAAACGGTTTGAAGACCACCATTGATTACGAGGTCAAGCACCAGATCAGGCTCAAGGGCGACGGCTCTTTCAAGGCAGGCTTCACAGACCAAGCGAGTTTCGGCGAGAAATGCAATGACGGGCATCGTCTTGTCCTCGGCGCTTGGAACGTTGCTGCGATTGTTGCTGGATCGCAAGTTCTCTTCTGGGGCATTCTCTGATCTGATGCCAGGAATTGGTGCAACTTTTCTGATGGTTTGAATGGCCGGGGCGTTTGGCTGGATGAACAGGAAAAAGGAGCACGGAGTATTGTTTAATAGTTATCATTACTGGAATCACCTAATGATCATGAATCTTTTTTCACGGCTCTGAACTCGTCTGCTCGATTGGTTACCTCTCGTGGGTGTTTCCATGACATCAGTAACTCCTTTTGCAAACAATTCCACTTGGAGACGTCCAGTCTCTTCCACACTGTTCATGACGACGTGATTTGTTGAATTGCGTCTCCATGCCCGACGCCACGGCGTGTTTCGAGGTGTGACGAGCACCTCACAAAGCGAGATGGTATGTAGCATTCAGTGCCATGCTCGTGTGAGCCATGGGGACCTGTCGTAGTAGGAGCCGCCGGGTGGATGATGCTGAGCACGCTTCGGCAGGCAGCACGACATCGGCACAGCATGCCCAGGCAGGCGGTGGTATCGCATGATTCCGAGGTGACATGACGCTTGGGTGCCGAAGTGCTGCAGTCGAGTAATGAGTCCAGATGTATCAGTGGCGTTTTTGTTTCTGTATCTTTTGCTCCCCTCTCTCTCTCGCGCACGCGCCCGTTTCCTTGCAATCCTCGCCATGCTAGTGAAGCTTTCGAAAGGGGCCTTTTGTCTTTCGCTCACATGTACAGTCACGCAGTGCCAAGTCTATGGAACATCGGTGACGGTTGTAAATTGTTGTTGTAGAATACTCCAACGCCCCGGCGTTCTTCTCAACCCCGAGACCTACATCTCCCCGCAGTCTCAGTCAGGGTGATGGTATGTAGCTTTCGTGTTTTTGCCATAAGAACTGTACCCGTGGAAACAAAAGCAACTTGGTATAACGCCGATATGGGGGTATCACTCCAATTGGGAGCACATTGCGTGAACAGCAGACCTGGATCGCCAACAAAATCAAGTAATAATAGGCTGCCCAGTGGGTGCCAACCTCTCCAGCACTCCGCCAATATCTCGCGCCGACGGCAAGAGGGCAGCGACCCTCTCGCCCATCATCACCCCGACGCACGTTCCTCTTTGCTCTGTCTACGTGTGGGATCGCGCCGACCCATTTTCGTATTCTAGAGGAACGCTGCCTCTGCACTAGCGCATGTCTGCATGAATATCTTTACGGTGTATATGTACACCGTTTTCGGAAAATGGTGTTCGCATGCTACTATGCTATTACGGTAGCAACCAGCATGTTGCATATTGATGCGGCGATTACCCAGCGGGTCTCGAGACGCGACGCGGCGCTGGGGCTTGTCTCGACGGGCATGGAGGAGGAGATGGCGCCGGTGTAGAGGAAGTCGTCGTAATTTGAGCCGTCGGTGGGCGCGGCCGTCGGCATAGCTTCAGTCTTGTCGGGCTTGTCGGCGAGAGTCAGGACACCCCATTGGACCTCGGAGCCGGTGAGGGACGAGGTCCAGGACACCTCAGTCGGTCCCGTCAGTTTGCCATTCGAGTAGCCGCTCTTCAGGCTCGAGTAGCCAGAGCACGTCGCTGCCGTTGTTCCGCCTAATGTGCAACCGAGGTCCGCGATCCTATTCATGCGTATCAGCCTTTGTCGGATCTAACCTCGAACTCGAGAGACAGGGTCCTAAACGTACAGTGTTGATGTCTTGGTGCCGTGGAAGTCGAGCGTCTGCTGGCCTTCAACGAAGATGAAGGGGAATTCGAGGGCAAGGTCGCAATTTGGGGGCGTTTGCGGCGCGCAGAAGATGGTATATGTCGTTTCCTTGGAATTCTGCAGCAGAATCATAGTCAGTTTACCGGAGAGCGCATACACGAAGGGGGGGAGCCATAGCTCCTCTGGATTTCTTTTCGTACACTTGACAATACGCTGCCCCGCACCAGTGACCAGCTTTTAGCATCGTAGTGCGGTAGGTAGATCGGGACGGTGGTAATATCCTCGGCGAGGACGGTATTGGAGGAGACCAGACATAATGACAATAACGCGAGTAACGGCTGAGGGTATTTCATTGTGACGAGAAGTGACGGGGCACACAGAGCACATGGGCCAGCGGCGGAGGTAATCGACAGCACCGGGGAAGAGGGCGAAAGGTGCAGCAGTGGCGATTGACGTCAAAATGCTGAACTCATGTACGGGAGGCGGCTCATCGGAGGCGGGCTACTTAGACAAGGCAGTTCCCGCAAGCCAGCCGGATGGGTAGGAGAGCTGGGTCGGACTTGGAATGGGTGGTAATATTATTAAGGTAAGGTAGCGTAGGGAGGAAGAAATCCAGAAGGAGTTGTTCTCGTTTCGGCGGCGGAGAGTGGGTTCGTTCGTTTCGCGGAGGTCCCGATGCGGGTGCGTATCTGTATCGCGAAATGCACAATGGACCGTTAGTCGTTCGCGGGGGCCAGGTACGGCGGCGTGGGCTTGGTGCAGGGCGACGTCGGCGAGGGGTGTCGAGAGTAGCAATGGCAAGGGGAGGACAAAGACGAGGGAGCGTTGGAGTTGTTCAAGGTCTGGTCATATGCTGGACTTGAAATGCGACAGCAGACGAAGATGGGGGACCTGATCAAGTGAGCGAAGGAGGAAAAGGGCTCTGCCAATGCGCCGTCCTTGCCGGCCAAGGCTGGGCGAGAGAAGGTGAGCAATTGGCATTCTTTGTAGCAAAATGGAGGCCAAGAAACGAATACCAGACATGCCCTTGCAACTCAGCAAGAGGAGCGCAGAGTGGCAGAGGAGGCAGCGCAGCACAGCACAGCGCAGCCAGCACAGCAGCGTCAATGTGCAGGACCCAGAGGTGCCTCCACTGCGCTGGGAACCTCAGTCCGCTCCAGGTGGGCGTCCGCCGCGGTTGGCGGTCCCATGGCGGATGCTAGTGTAGAGGCCTACCTACTGCGTACCTAGGCAGGGGAGGGAGGAGCACGGCTGAAATAAACGATGAGAGGTGGAAGGGGGAAAAGAGCCAAGAAATGCCAAGACTGTGAAATTCGCAGAAAAATATGATGAACTGGGTGGGCACGGGCGCATGAACTGGAGCTCTGAAGACTGGAGCTAAAACAACGACTGGCCAACAGCATCGCGCCGGGCGAGGACAGGGCCACCCCGTCCGTCCCATTCCAGCGTAACAACCTTATGCCCGCCGCCCCGCCACGCTGGAGGGAATGCCCTGAGGGCTGAGGCCAGTCGAGGTCGTCGAGGTCAACCAGCTCCTTCCCTCCTGAGTCCTCCCAGAGGAACCTGTCGGAAACTTCCTGCCCGCTGCCTGCCCACTTTCCCGGTCCAATGGTCCCCGCCACCACCACCCAGTGTGAGTGTCCGTCCTTCTTCCCCGCTGATTTAACATGAGCACGATGCGGAAGCTGCGAGGCCAGTGAGACCTGCGAGGAGCTCGACAGGCCAAGCTTGTGCCGAGCTGGTTGCGGTGAGAGAACCGTCAACGAGGGATAAGGTGCTCGCTCGGGCTTGGTAGAGGGATCAGACGAACATCTACCCTTGGCGCCCTTTGGACGACACGGAAGCTACGACCAGCCGCTGGCTTGATTGCACTGCGCAGTCGTGACAGCGCAATGCCAAGTCGGTTCACCACGATGATCCAATGTCATGAATCGGGCGGTTCGCTGCGTCGCCCAGGCGTCGGAATGAGAGACAGCCTATGTCCAAGACATTGCGGCATTCAGTTTGCTGGACGCCGAGATTCCTTCATGTCTTGCCTACCTGCAGTGATGCAGTCAGTGCCTGTGCAACAAACCTCTCAACCCCAAGTCCTCGGCCCCTGAGCTGATCGCGTAACGGGTAACGGATGACTCCACTCTTGCCGAGAACAGAAGAAGAACAAGCATGTCAGAGATGGCCGACGACGATACCTACAACCGCACGATGATGGCGACGATAGCGAGGACAGCAGAACCCGCGAAACAAATTCAGTCCCACGCCGTCAAACCAGTGGTCCCCAAGAGGAAAACATAGCCATCGCCAAGACTTCTCAGAACGCCCAGAAAGCATGTCGGCTGAGTCTGTCTCGTCATCTCGTGTTCCTGCACCCCTTTTCGTTCCCAGCTTAGCCCCCAGAAAGACCAAGACACGCTTACGAAATGCCTTACCCACGCTCTTCTCTCAACCTCTTCTGGAAGCACGAATAATATTCGTCTGGCCTCTTGGAACATCGCTTCAACGATCAACATACCCACATTTCGGCACCGTTGGCCGACCGAAAGACGTCAAAACAAACTCATTCCCGCCCTAGAGAAGGGTTTGCCGATATGCTTCTCTGCTAACCTGCTTCAACCGCCCACCGTCCTCGCACCACATCCTGAATGATCCAGCTGCTCACGCCCAGCCATGCTCAGCCAAACACGGCCCTCCAGCAATTTCTGACCACGCGAAATGCCACACAGTTGTTCGAGCGGGTCGTTTGCCTCCACAAACGGTTCTGTCGACCGGCGCACCCAATCGGAGATTTGCCTTGCTGATGGGAGCCTAAATATCGTGGATGTTCTCCTGCCTTTTTCTTCTTTTGCTTTAACGCTCGCAGGATACGAGCGGCTAGCCAACATTGGGCACTCGTGTGTGTATTGTAAACCTGTTGCGGCACAGTCCTCGTAAAGTAAAGGAACTTCTGTGATGGGGTTGACTATACATATAGAATGCCATGAAGCCCGCAATTGCATCGTCATGTCGCACGAATAGTTGCTCGTCGTTGTATCTTGCGTCACAACATCCAAAAACAAAATGAAGCATTCCGCGCCCGTCCTCGTCGCCTTCATCGGCATGGCTGCCGCGCAGACCACCACCAAATTTGACGTCGTTGTGCCGTACATGGGCAATTCATCCTTCCACGCCTCGGTCCAGGATGCCAAGCCTGCCGCCACCACGTACATCCTGGGTTGCGAAGCAGACATCGCCAAAGGCGGCTGCGTCGCAGACGAGGACTCCGTGATGAACGGCACCTGGGACGGCCTCACCATCATCAATGGCCCCAAGACCGTCGCGCTGCACCACACTTACAGTGACAAGGACATGTGAGCTCTCTCCACGAATACGGGGGCGTCGGATACATGTGTGAAAGGTGACCTAACATGTTCCATCGTCCAGATCCATCGGATTCGAAGGCTCCATCGAAGGGTCGACGATGCGCGTTGTGGAAACCCAAACGCAGAGCGGCTCTACCGTGCGCATGGGAGTGTGGAATGTTGACACAGAGAATTTCACCGTCGCCCTCACGGTGACTGCTGGCCTGGACAAGCTGGCGGCGCAGGCGACGGCGGAGACGGGGGCTTCGGCGACGGGATCGGGAGCAGCGCAGACTGGCGGGTCGGCGACGGGATCGGCGAGTCCCACTTCCACGCCCAACGCGGCCGTGGCTCGGTTCGGCAAGGCGGACTTCTGGGTGGGCGTTGCTGGTATTGGAACCGTTGGAGCCGTTGGGGCCTTGGTGTTGTAGGGCTTGGTACAGAGTGTATGTTGCGTGTGTGTCGAACACTGCTGAGTGGCCTTGAGTCAAAGTCATTGTTGCTCTGGACGCAGGTGATGTGTGTGTCGAGCTAGACAATGTGCTGACAAGGGAAAGATTTGTTTGTTCCTTGACAAACCACTGTCAGTCAAAGAATCTGTGTGTCCTTCGTCGGAAGCGAATTGAACAATCGGCCTGATCAGTAACATAAAGGTCGCCTCCGTAGACGCGGGAGGACCAGGATAAATACAAGTTGGATAAATCACTTCTAGTCCGAACCTTAGACTTGCGGTATCAGATCCATGCATATTCTATCACTTCCAAGCTCGCCTTTTTACTCATCACCCCCACGAACGCAAATCCCCCAGACCTCAATCAACAAGATGGAGACCATCTCAATAGTTGCCATTGGCCTCAGCGTTGCTGCTTTCTTCCTTGTGTGCTTGGTTTTCGTAATGTGGCGTTGCGTCATGTCCCCAAAGGCTCAAAAGACATATTTCCATCGAAACCGAGGACTTCCCGAGGAAACTATGCCTGGCGTCTAAGGAAGGCGTGGGTATCTCCAGGTGGGATAGTTGAGATGATACTATGCAAGTAGTGATGGGAAATTGGTTCATCATAGACATACAGAGCGGAGAAGACACTCTTCATAGGGGCAGTGGGAAAAATGCAAAGCCTTGTTCGTCCTAATTAGAAACGAGTGGCCGTTCCCGCAAAATTAAGGCCTTGTATAGCGATGTGTTCTAGTAATAGTGTGAATCCTCCAAGCCACCATGCCGCAACTCCGAGTTTGCCATGCCAAAAAGACGACTCCAACAGAAAATCATCACCTAGCAAAGTGGTATATATCCGACTGCGGAAACAAAGAAAACGAGAAAATCACATGAGAGGCCGGTCCTCACGACCGTCCAACCAGCTAGAGCAGTTGACGCAACGTTGGGCCTGGAACGAAATCAGTATTGCAGTCGGCGACTTTGAACTATTTCGGCACATACTTTGATGCTGATACGCTTGCGACAGTACTTGCACTTGACCGTAGGTCTGATGATCGGGTCTCGAGAAAAGAGTTGAAAGATGTGCGCCAGGCCATAGAGGGCGAAGCCGATGCAAAAGAACGAGACCAGTTGGTTGAGAAAAGAGCTTTCGAAAACAGTCAGTAGTCACGCACAAGAGAACAGCACTCCCAGTGAAGCAACGTACCCGTAAGCCATAACGACTGCACCATCGTCCTTGGCGCGCTCAAGAGTCGTGTACTTGTCTTCGTGGCTGTAGTTGGGACCACCCTTGAGAACGGCGAACTTCTCCTCAATATTGCGGTTCAGAGGGAAGATGATGGACATGGGCGGCATCAAGATGTTGTTCACGAAGTTGTTGACGAGTGCCGTGAACGAGGAGGCGATCCTTGGGGGGAAATGGTCAGTCGCGATTCCTACTCGAGATTCGATACAGTTCTCGAGCCGTGGTCTCCTGGAGACAGGGTCTGGTGCATGTGTCGATTGACACACGAGTGGAACTTACATCAAGCCCAAGGCGATGCCGAGAATGTCGCCCTGGGTGGCAAAGTCGAGGAAGCCCTCCCAAACCTTCCTCGCTTTCACCTGGCTTCGGTTGAGAAGCGGGATGAGCTGGTCGCCCTCCTCGTCACTGTCCTGGAGCTCCGGGTGGCTGTTGGCGGACGAGATGCGGTTGCTGAATGGGAGAGGCATCTTGAGGATTCTCCTGAGGGGGCGGTCCTTGAAAAGATGCAGCGGTTATCGCGAGGTCGGGAAGGCAAAGTTGGGCGCAAGGCGGAACTCTGTTCGGCACGAGAGGCTTGAAGTTGACGCTCGAGTTGGACTTCAGATGTAGTTGGGACGGCGGGGAAAGTCTGAAGTTCAGCTAAGGTTGGGCTTAGGCTGAGGGGCAGCTGAGGTCGTGGCTGGGAAGGTGCTTTCCTGTTTAGGGAGGAATGACGTACCCCACATTCCGGACTACTGCGGTAGTAAGTGGGTCTTCGGAGCCGGAGCCGGGACTCGGTTGCTGCGGCAGACGCAGGACGACAAGGTCGTCAGAAAATAGAGACAGTATGAGCTTTAGATAAGAAGAAGTCAGGGGCAACAAGTTGTGTAAATACGACGAGGATGAAGACGACAATAGGTGCCAAAACAATGCGGTCTATGACATGCACAGGCTAAAACGGCGACAGACAACGGTTTTGAGGCAAACATGCCATTCAAAGTAATCTATTCTTTTTGCTACATTTCGATGTTCTGTTTCGAAACTGTTCATTCTAAGAAATCATTTGTCGCATCAATGGTATCTTCTGAAATAATGAAAAGGATCGTGATGTCGGAGTGGCCATTGTAGACCGGCTATCAGGCCAAACCTGACAAGCAGGGTTCAAAAAATCGCTTTCGTGTCGAATTATCCAATCTGAAGAAAAAGAGGCCCACAGGGTTTCGGTTGACTATTCTTCAACAAGGTTCAATCTTAGAAGCTGCCCTTGTTGTGGCGCTTCTCAGTGTACCCTCTCTTGGTTGATCGTCTCGCCACACAGCACTGAGTAACCCAGTAGACGGCAGAGACGGCCATGACTGCAAAGGCGACCCAGGAGATAATCATGAACTTCTGGCCGGCTTCTGCCGATAGACCAACGTCTTCGCCTACGTCGTTGAGCTGCTCCGCGCCCTTCTTGGCACCGATGGTTGTGACCAAACTGCCGGCAAACAGCACGATTGCCGCAAGAATGGCGAAGGTGAAGTTGGGTATCGTCACACGCTTGGCGGGACCAAGGAAGAAAGCAGCAAAAGAGCCAAGAATGGCGAGACCCGAGAAACCGATGCCTAGGACATAGAGAACGAAGATGGCGAGCAGAGCCTTATTGACTTTGTCCAAAGCGTCCTCGATGGTATCGGGCCAATCGAGGTCAGCAAGGCTCAGACGCAGGGGGCCGACGGACAGCTCTTGGTCCAGCATCTTGGTGAGGTTGACATTGGCTAGATGAGAGTCAGTGATGGAGCATAACGGAGCGGTACGATGTGGGACTCACGACCAGGCTTCGGCTGGGTGCAGGCAGAGACGTTGAGCCAGACGTTGGGAGCCGTGACGTTGGGCGCAAAGTCGCCCTGGCACACGTCCATCAGATGCAGGGAGTACCAGTGGGAGATTCCGAGCTCGTCGGCGAGACGATCCGCGATGTCGTTGCCGATGTCGTTGATAATGTCAGACGTCTTGTTGCGGACGATACCGACTAGCCTATCCCAGGTGCTTCCATCGTCGCCGGATGAATCAGAGCTCACGTCCAGAACATTCTGACCGAGTCCGGATGTGTTGAGGCGGATCACGTCGTAATCCTCCATGAAGCCCTCCTTCTGGCCGGCAAAGAGGGCCAGGAAGGAGAGTACAAATGCCACTATGGACAGTACCAGCGGCACTATCGCGGTGAAATGCATGTTGCCGACAGAAGTGTTTGCTTCGTGTAAGACAAAAGAAAGGTGGTTGGATTGGGACGCTGTCGGTGGGCAGGTGGGAACACGGCCGGAATTGTGAGATACGGCCTGTCGACGGGTTGTCTAGTACGTTGTGATTTGGAGCTGGAAAGTGACAGTAACAAAGTCAAGGACTCTTGACTTCAGGGCAGCCAAAGCTACTGTCCTTATGAGGGAGGGTGCGACCTAGAAGATGGGTGAATCATAGCAGGCCAGCCCATCTGAGACCCCATCAAGACCAATGATGCAACCAAAGAGACCCTAACTTCCTGAGTGGGCGTCAAAGAATGCTGTGCCGTGACGATGGAGACGGGGGTCAGGAACAAGGCCGTTTGTCTCCATCGGCGTCACTTGACTGGCCCGGGGAAAACTCAAGGGCCTGGGCGGCAGTTGGGCGGACCAAAAAGAGAAGAGGCGAACATCATTTACGCAGTAGGCTGTTTGTACCCTGTGAGTGTTGCTTTGGTGGGTGGAACAGCGCAGCAAGTCCTGTCGGGCCTGACGTGGCCAAGATTTTAGTCATGCGAGAAGGGTTGGTGTTGGCTTGTTGTTGTTGCGCAGGTAGGTTGGTCGGGTCGGTGGGCGAAGATGTCGAAGTTTGCGTCATCGGGGCCCATCTCTCGTGTCTCTCCAGCCATTCTTTCCCGGCTGGTGGCGCCAGTGTTGTCCGTGGGCACACGGGGACCCACATAAACCGGTCTAGCCCGTTCATCGGATGACGCCCGGGAAAACCTGTTTGGACGAGACAGGGATGTGGCGTCAGGTTTTGGGCAGTTCACAGCCACTGAGGACCCTGAAGGGACCTGCTTCTGAGGGTCTGAGGTTGCGTGAGGGTGTTTGGGCAGCGCTAAGCAGACCTCATAGCTCGCCTAGGTACCCAGCCGAATACATACCCTGAGCAGGGAATTCGCTACACGTCCAAGTATCCTCTGAATTGGCATTGGCCTAGAATCTCCCCAATCAATACCTACCGTAGGTGATGAACGACCTTACTTGGTTTCCAAAATGAGAAGAGGGCTCGACTTTCTTAGACTGATCTGTTTATCCCAAGAACGGCAAACAAAAATAGAAACACCTGAAAAGCTTCTTTCTTTTCCGAGGGATACTGTTGCGTTGTTCTCACAACAATCCTGCCGTCGGTATTCGCACGCGGCGCTCGATTTCGTGAATTTCTCTACGGATAGACATGCAGGATTCTCCGTGTCAGCAGTTTGATTGCTTTGCTTAACCACCTTCCTTTACCGGATAGTGTCTCAGGGGAAGGCTCCCTTGGATTGCTTGCTGGCAACCCGGGGCATTAAAAGGGCCAATCCCTCAGCCCCGACTTACTCGGAATATCCTCTTTTTCGTTAACTTTCTCATTGAAGCCTTTTCGCCCACCATGGACAACTCGACTTCAACCATGTGCTCCCCAGCCGCCGACGATTCTTTCGGCCCAATCATCCAGGACTGCCGCGACGGCTTCGACTTCACTCTTACTTTTGAACAATGCCTCTTCACTATTCTCCCTGCCTCGCTGCTGCTTCTTGTCGCCCCTCTTCGTCTCTTTCAACTCGGGAAGCTTCCTCGCGCTGTCTCTGGAAACATTCTTCGTCTATGCAAGATCGCCGCCATCGGCGTCCTTGCCGTCTTGCAACTCACCCTGATCGCACTCTGGGCGATCCATCGCGACGAAGGGCGTTTGCGCACCGTGTCTATCGCGGCGTCTTGCGTGTCTTTCGCCGCCAGTCTGGTGTTTGGTGGTCTCTCGTACATAGAACACTCGAAGAGCCTTAAGCCTTCGTCCATCTTGAATACATACATACTTGTCTCTCTGGTGCTGGATGGAGCGATCCTCCGCACCATATGGCTGTCGCACTTAAGCGCTGCCATCAGCGCCGTCTTCACCGCCTCGTTTGCGTTGAAGACGGCCATCGTGATTCTCGAAGCCCAGGGGAAGACGAGGTATCTTGTCGATTCAGACGGTCGGTCGCTGAGCCCCGAGGAGACCAGTGGCATTTACAGCCGCGGTCTCTTCTGGTGGCTCACGCCGCTGCTGATGACTGGGTTCCGTCGTCTCCTGAAGCCGCTTGACTTGTTCACACTGGATGAGTCCATGTCGGCTGCGGTGCTGAGCGAGCGCTTCTGGAAGCATTGGAACGAGTCATCGCCGGCGTCGCATGGCACTACGAACGATTCACCTCGCCCGCACAGCTATCCGCTCGTCTGGGCTTGCATCAAGACGCTGAAGTGGCAGTTGTTGGCCGTTGTCCCTGTGAGGCTTTGTCTCCTGGGCTTCACCATATGCCAGCCTCTGGTCTTGAATCGTTTCCTTGACTTCCTGCAAGACCCTTCCGAGGATGTCAATCATGGCTATGGTCTTATTGGGTCATACGGCCTCGTTTACCTTGGCATCTCCATCACGTCAAGCTTCTACTGGCACAAAGCCTTTCGCTCCTTGACTATGCTCAGGGGCGTGTTGGTCGCCGCCGTCTACTCCAAGACGACGGAGCTCAGGAGTGCTTCCAGCGACGATTCCGCAGCCGTTACTCTTATGTCGACAGATGTAAGTCTCCCGACATCTTACCGTGTACCGCGAGTATTAACTTTCCCAAGGTTGACGCCATCATCCGCGCCTGGCGGGAGATACATGAGTTTTGGGCCAACATCATCCAGTTCGCCCTTGCAACCTGGATCCTCAGCAATCACATCGGCTACGCAGCCGCGGGCCCCATCATTGTGTCGGTTTTTGCTTTAATAGTTACTTTCTTATTCGCTCCTGCAACACAAAAGTATCAAGTTGCGTGGATAGAAAAGGTGCAAAAACGCATCGGTATGCATCCTTCCATCCTGTTATAACTCAGACCACTCACGGAATTTCAGGGATTACTTCGGCAATGATGGGACATGTCAAGAGCATCAAGATGTCCGGCCTTACCCAGAAGCTCTCTCAAACGATTGCGGATCTCAGAATTTCGGAAATGAAGGCCGCCACTCCGTTCCGCGTGATTGCTGCAATCACGTCGGCCGTGGCTCAGATTCCCCTCATGATTTCCCCCGTGGTTGCTTTCGCAATGTATATGGCCATCATCTCTAAGTCTGGAGAGACGCTCGATGCAACCAAGCTGTTTGCTGCCCTCTCTCTGGTCATTCTGTTGGCAAGCCCCCTGTTCTTCATGTTTGAGACGGTCCTGGACTTGAGCGCGGCTCTTGGGTGTTTCCACCGCATTGAGAACTACCTATGCCGGCCGCCACGAAACGATTACCGTTCATTTCCATCAAGCCCCTCTATCAAATCGTCTCACAATGGGAATGGTAGCTCTCATGGGGAGAACATCGAAGTCCGAGCTAAAGACGTATCGTTTCGGTGGAAACAAGAGTCTGTCCCTGTTGTTTATGGACTCAACTTCGGCGTCGGGGCCGGAGAGCTTGCCATGGTCGTGGGATCAGTGGCAGCTGGCAAGACTACATTGTTGAAAGGTCTTCTCGGAGAGGTTCCTTACGTTGATGGACTCGTTTCGTTGTCCAGCAGCAAGATCTCATGGTGCGAGCAAAGCCCGTGGCTAATCGTAAGTAAAGCCGTCTCGCCCGTTGTAGGACAAGAGCTCACATCAAATAGAATGAGACGATTCGAAAGAACATTACCTGCTTCTCAGAATTCGACGAAAGCCTCTACCGACAAGTTTTGACCGCTTGCGATCTTGAAAAGGATCTTGCCATATTCCCGGAAGGCGATCGTACGCTCATCGGTAGCAAAGGTCTTGCTTTGAGTGGAGGCCAGAAGCAACGTATCGTAAGTCGTACCCGGCGATAATGCTCTGCTGTTACTAACGTCGGTCAGGCGCTTGCAAGGGCAGTCTACTCCAGGCCCCGGATTGCACTCTTCGACGATGTCTTCAGTGGCCTTGACAATCACACAGCCAAGACAGTGTTCCGCAGACTTTTCAACCTGAAGGAAGGAATCCTGCGGGCTTGGGGAACTACAGTCGTTCTTGCAACACAATCAGGTGAGAGTTCGCCATCCAAGCATGAATACATCCCAGCTTTGTACGTAAGACTAACAAGAGACATAGTCGGCTTTCTATCACAGGCAGACTTGATCATAGCACTTGGGGACGGGCAGGTGTTAGAGATAGGGACATTTGCAGAGTGCCTAGAGTCGGACGGTTACGTCAAAAGCCTTGCAACTCTCGAGGCCGGCAGCGGTGATGAGGTCACTTCAAGCGAACCTCCCATCGACACATCCAGTAATACGACCGGGAAAGAAGCCGCCAAAACCGCTGCCGAAACGGAAGATAAGCGACGTCAGCTTGGAGACTGGAGCGTCTACAATTACTACTTTGGAAGTGTTGGCGCCATACTGGTGGCAGTCATGCTTCTCCTCCAGATGTCTTGGGCTTTCTTCTCGACTTTCCCGAGTAAGTGTTGCAATTCTCATCCTAAACATAAAATACTGACAATATTGTGAAAGCGGTCTGGCTCAAGTTTTGGACCGACCATAATGTCGACAATGCCGCCTCGGACTCGGCGTACTACCTCGGTGTCTATGCTGCTTTGCAGGTCAGCGGCGTTGTTTGTTTCGCAATTCTCATCTGGTAAGTCCATGTACCGCACTCCTGGAGCCAAGACTTCGTAGTGAAACTCATATCTGCAGGTTTGTCCTTGTTCCAATCGCATCAAGGTCGGGCATCAACTTGCACCAGCGCCTTCTCAAGGCTGTCATGCAGTAGGTGATGTTCCCTCCAAGCAGCCAGATTCTCATGTCTGACAACATGAACAGTGCCCCACTGGCCCTCTTCACAAGTACTGACATCGGTTCCATTACAACTCGGTAAGTACCCGAAAGTCCCAAGGTCGGGCTCCAAGACGCCTGATGTGTTTAGGTTCTCCCAAGATATCGGCCTAGTCGACCGCAACTTGCCCCTGGCCCTGGTTGTATCCCTCGCTAGTAGGTTCCTCACCCGTACTGGTTTCTACAGACCAGACTCTGAACGTTACAGGCTTCTTCACCTGCATAGGCAAGGCATTCCTGATTGCCTCCGCCTCTTGGTACATCGCCATCAGCTTCCCGGTCTTGATACTCGTCTTCTACTTCATCCAGAGGGCGTATCTCCGTACCTCCCGCCAGCTCCGCTTCTTGGATCTGGAGGAGAAAGCCCCGGTGTAGTAAGCCATCTTTGACTCCGGCCATACAAGATGAACCTTGGACGTTGACATCGATTCCTAACAGCACCCACTTCCTCGAGGCGCTTTCTGGGCTCCCCACCATCCGCGCACACGCCGCGACGACACCCTCCATAGCCCACTCCCACACCCTCATCGACCGCTCGCAACGCCCCTTTTACATCCTTCTTCTCACCCAGCAATGGCTGACCCTCGTGCTCGACCTAACCACAACCGCACTAGCCCTGCTCGTGGTCGGCCTCGCAGTCCGCCTCCGTGATACCGTCTCCGTAGGCCTGACGGGAGTCTCTCTAGTCCAGCTGATCTCCTTTACCGAGACCCTCAAGATGCTGATCCAGTTCTGGACGTCTCTGGAGACATCCATCGGTGCTGTCGCGCGGATCAAGAACTTTGCCGACGATACTCCTGACGAGATCGAGGATGATTTGCTCAAAAGGCAGCTCCTCTGCTCTGAAGGCCGACAAGGAGTATCGGCGACGTTGCTTCCAGGATGGCCTGACAAAGGGTGCATTGAACTACGGGACATCTCGGCTTCATATGCGTCCAGCGCCAATGATTGTGATGAGAAATCAGTGCCCAAGGCCCTAGACGGTATCAGCATCTCTATTCGTGCGGGTGAGAAGATTGGCATCGTCGGACGCACTGGAAGTGGCAAATCCTCGCTCCTCCTCGCCTTACTCCGTCTCCTGCCTCTATCGTCGGGTTCAATCCACATTGATGGCCTGTCTCTGGACAGACTCCCTCTTCTGGAACTCAGATCGGCTCTGATCGCAATCACTCAGGACCAGTTCGTTCTCCCGGGAACAGTCCGCCAAAACATCGACCCGTTTGCCGCGGCCTCTGACGAGAGCATCACTTCCACACTGACACGTCTCGGTCTTTGGGATGCCATCCAGGAGAAAGGTGGCCTGGATGCAGAATTTGCCGAGGAGGCACTCAGTCACGGGCAGAGACAGCTCTTCTTCCTGGCGCGGGCTGTCTTGCGTCGCGAAGTAGGCAAAATCGTTCTCTTGGACGAAGCAACGAGCAGGTAAGGCCTCCGCCGTTACCACCCGATTCGTTGCAGACGTAGTTGAGCTTACATGGAATGCAGCGTCGATTCCCACACCGAGCGTATGGTCAAGGACCTTATTCGCGAGGAGTTCAAAGAACACACCGTCATCGCGATCGCGCATCGCCTAGAAACTGTTGCTGACTTTGACCGAGTCGTAGTGCTTGACAAGGGACATATCGTAGAAGTCGGTGAGCCGCAGTCCCTCCTGCTTGAGAAGGGTGGAAAGTTCAAGGAGCTGTGGGATGCGAGCAGGCAGAACCGGGTCTCTTGAGACTAGATCACGAAACAGAGAGTCGTCGCAAAGATATGAATTGCCTTGCAGTAAAGGTTCTATTCAATTGTAATTTGTATGTTCTAAATCACAGTTTGCGCAAACGCCTCATCTATCTGGTCTCTTTCGACGGTGATGAACCGTCCCTTTCCACCTCTTTGCCCGACAATGTACCGTTCGATTGCCTTGGCCATCTCTGCCGCCTCCAAATACCTTTGGCCATCGGCCATAGGAGTATTTTCGCTTATCTCGTACCCATACTTCAATACGAGTGAAGAGACCTTGCTCCACGGCCCATTCCAGTCGACCTTATCACCATCTACATTCACCATGAGCGCCTTGAACCAAGCACCACAACCAGTGATATCTAGATGTTCCAATCCATACAGGCACTTGCTCAGCTTCCGCAGCATGATGACGGCCTCAGTCCAGTCATCGTCAAGGGTGTGAGAATACGCCCCGGTGCCCGCATACTGTGACGTGTGGCCCTCAGGCGATACAATCGTCGTGAACCTTGCCTTAGGCGTCAACGCCGGCTCGGGCCAGTAGGCCAGACTGAGATGCGTGAGGGTGGGTAGTTTCGCCGTGAGTGCGAGCAGCTGCTTCCACGACACACCGGGCCCATCGGCACCAGCTCCTGGAGTGACGGCCAGACAGAGATGCGTGATGTTGGGCAGAAGCTTCGGAGGAAGCGACGGTGCCTCCGCCGTGTCCCAAGAGTCATGTACCTCTTCCGGTGCCAGAGCCAGCTGCAGCGGGAAGAGCACGTCAGCCAGTTCCTTGACTGACATGGAACAGCCGATGGAGCCCGTGAGGTCGAGGAAGTAGATGTCGTTGTTCAGAGACACAAGGTCCTCGGGTTCTTGGGACAGCTGAGCCCCGTCCTCTTCGTCAACGGCGGGAGGTATCAGGATATTGCGCAAGTCCGCAGCGGACAGACCGGCCTCGTACCACAAGCCTACGTACCTGGCTAGAGAGGCCCGGACTCGGCTGGGAAGCGTGTGAAGGTAGTACCGATCGTAATCCCTCTGGAGTTCCCAATTCAAAGCCATCCTGCGCAATAACAGGTCCGTCAAGCTGCCCTTGTCCGGCTCGTAGGAGCCCGGTAGGCCTTTGACGGCGCCGCGAACGGCGATGGCATGGGCGCTGTTGTAACGGGTGGCATTGCTGCAAGAACGGGAGAGCCAGCTGCGGGGAGGTGGCGGACCGGGAGGGACTCGTCTCCCTGTTGCGTCAAATCTCGGGACACGCCTGGGTGGCAGAGGAGGCGGTTCTGGGATATGGAGGATCTGTCGGATGGCAGGCGGGACGGTGGGCGTGGCTGCCAAGGATGCTGCGGTGGTACGACTTGAGGAGGCGTGGGAGGATCGGCGGAGATCGGCCAAGAGTTCGTTAACGCCCTTGCGTTGGCTTTCTGTTTCCCGTGGCTTTCGTGTCAGTTTTCTGGGTTGACACCGCCGATATAGTATAGGGGGAGGGAAAGGGGGATGAACGGTAGGCAGGAAACGTCACGTCCGGAGACGCGGTGGGGGGTGGGGGGAGCTGGGGGGATGTGACGGGAGGTACTCACGGCCAGATGTCGAGGCTGAAGCTGAGGCGCCCAACGATGCGGGGGCCGTGGATTGCGGCTTCGAAAATAGGGATTGATGCCTTTTCTTAGGCATGCCCGAGGAAATCTCAGATACGAGAAAGCTGTGGCGGAAGCTCCCGGGAGGAAGCTGGAGGGAGACGTCGAGATGCACCTCAGTGGCAGACAAGAACTGAGGGCGGTGGGCGGGGGAGGGGTGCAGAATCGCAGCAAACAACCTCGGGCGAACGTTTGTCGCTATGTACTGCAGCAATTTGCGCCTGCCTGGACGAGAAGGGGGAAAAAGCATCAGCGACAATGATGACCAATTTGCTCCCGCTGGATTGTTAGTCACAGCAGGTCAAAGCCCAGCCAAGCAGTCAGCTTCCGCAGCAATCGTCGGAGTCACACTTGATGGTGGAGTTGCTCAGAATCCTTAGTACGCATGAACCTGCAGTACGTACTCCATAAAGTGCCTAAGGTACACTCTAGGGCGATTCGGATTGTGGAGCTGATTGAAGGTGTGGCTTGACTTGGAGGATGGCCAGGAGGAACGTTACGGATACAACGTCATGTTCAGAGGAAGAAGGGGGGGGGAGGCGGCGGAAGAGGGCGTGCGTGCCTGCTCATGGCATCCATGTTTGTCAGCGCCCGGAGTCGGCCCTGATTCGCTCAAAGCACATTCCATCGCAATCAGCTTCCAGCATCAGCAAAGAGTGTTGAATGAGTCTTCGACAAACATGTGGTCCGTGCATCTCGGCCGGCCCGGACAATGAGGGCCGGATAATGAGCCCGGACCAGCCCACAGACCGAGACGCCTTTGACAGCGTGGAGCCCCGCTTTGGCGCCGGTCTTGCGGCGACCCACTTCGGACTGTTTGAACCTACGGTGCCTTAGTCCCGTAGCTACTCCCAACTTTGCCGGCCCGATTGCCATTTGCGTCCACTGGTTCCCAGCCCCATCCGAACGACATGCCCCGCCTTGCCGTCAAGGCTGCTTCTTAGAGTTTGAGACTACACATATTACCCATGTGCCACAAACCTTGGTGCGCTGTTTCAGCATCGTGAGGTGAGGGTGAGCAGCTGCCAATTCCTTGGACCCAAAATGTACCTACTCTATCCGGATCTGGAGAAGAAGCCCAGGCCCCATGCCGCTGAGGGACCATGGCGCATCGTCCTTGACTGTGATTGTCGACTTGACATCTTGGTAAAGCAGGGTTGGTGGAACCTGAAATTTGACAGGTAGCAGACCCATGCCCGATTCCATGTGGCAAGAACGTCGTGGAAAACGAAGCTTATTGATCGATGAGCGCTGTTTGGGTAACCCTCTTCTTGCAGAGTGTGGGGTCTGGAGTCGAAGCATTCGTGGCGCCACCCGCCTCGGACAATGTTGATCATCTGCCTGCTGGGCTTGTTGTACCTTTCTGATCTTCCGGTCTACCTGGAGATGAGCTCACTCTGTCCGCGCCTGCAAAGGACTTGTTAAAATTGCCGTTATCAGTACCCTACTCGTGGCTTAGATGCGCGGGCCCCAGTGGCTTCTTCCGGTACCGACGCGTTGTCTTTTCAGCTGCTCTTGTCAGATGATGTCTCGAAGTAGCAGAGGGTCTCTCGGTGACCGGCTCGGAGTGGGCTGACATGAGCATCGGGTGCCCGCACCATTGGCCCTGTTGTCATTCGACCTTCTAGTAGATTCACTGGCTTTCCGTGAGTGCGAGTCATTGGCCCATCGAAGAGGCTTTGTTCGCTCAACTTTAACGAGGACTAGATTACTTCTGCAATCATTGAAGGCGCACAACAGCGACCATCCTGATGTCCTAGCTGTGATCGCCTGCCGTCTTCCAGAGAGGGCTGACGGACGATGGACCGATGGACTATCCATGAAGATCCTGTAAAACGTTGCATCCATAATAACCCATGGTTGAATCCCGACAGGCGGGCCTGAAACCGGTCTGGGAAACAACGTGCATGGGAGCCGCGCACGGTGTTCAGTACTGAGACGCTGAGGTGACGCTCAACTTTCTCTCCTTGTGCTCCCAATATGACAGGATAGTCGTGGTAATGCTCCGGGCCACGGGACTCTTGCGGTCCAGGCCTTGACATGGTTCACCATGGGTCGATGGTTCAGGCGGGCGACAACTCACGAGTCTCGGTCCATGTTCATTTTGCGTCCTCCAGGAGGCTTTCTGAGGGGGACCCAAGAGGTCTTCCACAGCATGACCAGGGACTTGGTCGTGGAGACGAAACGTGGCTTTGTGGCGAGAAATTTGACTGATGGGAACTTTTACGTTTGACAGGTCAAGACTAATGGTCCCGATGTGGAAAGAGGAAGCGAACAAATCCGGAAATCTGTACCCTTACAATGACCAGATCCGACGTCTGAGCGGAGCTATAGCAACGTGGTGAATACCCTGCTCTTTCAGTGAGCCCATGATACACTTGTCGGCAGATGGCCGGTGTACACCGTGATGATCCCAAGTAGATGGTTCATACGCAGGTCTTCATCTGCTCCGTGTAGCGATACAACTGGCTATGTGCGAGGCACCCCCTTTCCGCGTGGCCACATACGAGCAAGCAATCCACAGCTTTTGGACTGGAATAGTCTAGGCTTTGGCACCCGAAACCAGACGATACAGCTGTTCGAAAAGATGGCATCGGCACGAAAGCGTGACGTTCAGACCCTGATTATGCGTTGACAAGCACTGCTTGTCGAGATGACTGAATCGAACCTCTTTCTCGACCAAGTCCTGAAAAGCGTATCCGCGTTTTCGGCTAACGCCCTCCTTGTACCACCTCAACTTGGAGCTGTCGCGATAGGGGGCCTATCGCCCCAAAGTCACCAAGGAAAAGCCACGGGTAGTCGCGATCGCTGGCTCTTGAACCTGGCAGAGCTTCATCTCCAGAACCCAGCCGGGTACTAGAGGACTGAAAACAGACTGGTTGCTCTTTTTAGTTGGTGCTTCAGTGAAACAAGGTTGATCTTGGGCAAAACTCGAAAAGAGCCGGCAGAAAGCGGGAGAGTGCAAAGGCTCATTCTTCGGAGGGCGAGCATCTGAAGACTCCGATCTCTTGACCGCTTCTTTGATGACTTTTGTGAGGCAACCAGCCCGTTGGGAAAGGCAACGATTCCATCCGCCACCCCTCCTACCGGGGGTGGCTCATTGCAGGCCAAGGATCTAGACGCCCGCTTTGAAACTTCGAAACAGAGAAGACGCGGTGAGCCGCTGTCAACCTGTTGAAGCAGCTGAGATTCCCCTGAGATCCCCTTCCCGCCGGTAGCTAGGCCTCTAACCCAAGGTGCGTATTGAAACCCAATTCCTGGAGCTACACCGAGGATGGCTCAAGCGCCAAGAAGGCAGTTTTGGCAATTTCAGCATGTCTCACTTTCTTGACGAGTCTAAGGGGCCTCAATGAAGAGGCATCACATTCCTGAGAGCCAGACGGCAGCATTGCATGGCCAAGTAATGAACGGCCGGGTCTGCACGCAAGCCGATCCGCTTGGCTCAAGACTATAGCGGCGCCGGGGCGAGATGGCGACATGTGGACCCAACGGTCAAAAGCTAACCCTTACAGTTAGCGATAAATTGCCGTCCGCAGAGATGGGGTGTAGACGACGAGCTTGCATCAAATAGCATTAAAAGAGACAACATGTCGCAAGCCGCGGTAGGGTACCAGAAAGGCCCTTGGGGGTACCTGGTGGTACATGGAGCGGGAACAAGAAACATCGACTTACTATGTGGGGCGGGACGATCAGTAGCTCCGAGTGCGCAGATGTTGAATACAGCCTCGGATGCAGAGGTCGAGCCCTGCATTGTAGGATGCGAGGAGAAAGTAGCTTGTGAGGGTTGGCGAGAGCAAAGGAGGCTATTTTGAGGTCTCCCTAGAGACAGAATGTGATCCAATACTCCACTCAACAAGCCGGACGAAGTTGTTTTAGGGCATTGCAGAAAAGGGAAATGCCAAAGCGTTTTCGAAGGCGAATGCCGCGCTTGGTTAGTTTGTGGTTGTTTGCATCCTGGCGGAATTCTAGAAGACGTGTTTGTCGACTATGGCATTGTGTCTCGACAAAAGCCATGTTGAGAGCAAAGAAGAGTGAATCGAGGCATGCGCTAAACAGAGAGATTGAGAGACGGGGAAGAAAAGAGAAGAAGCATGGGCTGCAGTCGTTTCTGCGATGGTGATGCCCACACTCACTCGCACGCAAATGGGCAATGCAAAGCGACTGAGGGAGTGGCTTACACTTGGAAGCGACTGATGAGGGAGGGGCCCATTGTCCCAAGGCCAAGGGAGAGTCACAGTCGGTGAGTGGTCAATGAGGGGTACATAGTAGACAGGCCAGGCCAGGGCAACAGCAAACGTCTGTGACATGAGAGCGAGAGATGCAGCGGGCCACGAGAGGCCGCTTGAAGAACTTCACCACCGTCCTTCTTCTCTACCTTACCTGGGAAGGCACAGTGCAAGGCAGGAAGGAACGGGCTGCTGGTGT